AAGAAAAGTATCCAGATTTGTTAACGATAACAGACTATACGCTTCGCAGTATTAATATTGACAGACAGTCTACAAAATGCAAGAGTAATTCAATTGAACTGATTTATTCATGTCCTTGACAACAGACAAAATGCCCAATTATAGCCAAGAACTAAGACAACAAAAATCAACAGAACAAGACATTCTAGAAAGGAAATAACATCGTAAAATATCAACAGATAACAAAATATCAGGAACCAAATTCACAACATAAAGTCTACAAACAATGAATAAATAATAGTTAAAAAGAAATTTTAGTTATAAACAATGTTAAATGTCAGTCTGTTAAAAACATGTCAATGTTCTTGTAATAACAACAACAATAATAATAATAATTCTCGGCTCTATGGAAATGTTCCACTGAGAGACTGATTGGCGATTCTAGCTTGTATAACTTCCTAACTGAAATGAAAATGATTCATTTTTCTCGCACTTACACAGATCTTTGCAAAACATGCACGAAGTGAAGGCACGTCCGTAAGTCCACGTAACCTTCCACATTTTATAACGCCAAAACAAGTGCTATTTACGAGCCACAAGGAAACAACATACAACTGTATTGTGCTGGCCAATTATAACAACGAGACCAAAGTCTCAGCCAGGCTAACACTGAGTTAACCTCTGCGTTCCTGGTCCACACACTCATCATCAAATTTATTTTAGATTCACATTAATATTATCATTCCATTTTCACCTAGGTACATAAAATGTGTTCTCTTCGAGATTCATTTACAAAATTCCGGATTAATCATATCCCCCATGCATGTTAATGACTTCCGATCGTGTTTTAAAGCTAACATGTTATACTACGTTACGGCATATTTAACAATTTTAATTCAGTAGCAAACACCAAATACTTAAGTACGTACGCTGACTTTTTAAAGAAGTTCACAGATCGAATCCCGGTGTGAAGACACACTACCCTACATGCCTCTCAGTGTTCTTTTCCTGTTCGTTTATGAAAATTTTAAGTCGGTGCCTTATAATATGCCACGACACCTTTTCAAATGTATCATTCATGACCTTATTTATTTATTGTTTATTTAACAACGTTGTAAAGAGCTCAGACTATACAGCTTGGAACGATATGATTAGTCGTGACCTAACTTAAAGAACCATCCCGAAATTTTCCTGAAATGACTGAAGAAACCCACGAAAAACATCAGTCAGATGGCAGGTCTCCAGGCCGAGATTTTAAAGCGATACCTCCCGAATATGAAGCAACAGTGTTAACCACTTAGCCTCGAAGATCGATACTTATCATTCAGAATCAACCTACCAGCACGCCAATGAATCGATTTATCGTTCCACCTATTTATCGATTCATCGTCTAATTTATTTGCTCATTCAATATTCCATCTATTTATCTATTAAATGTTTAAACGGTTTACCAATAAACCGATTAATCAATACATCCATCCATCACAATGACAGTATAATCGACTATTATGACCTACGTTGTTGAAAAGCATAATTTACAAGATTCTGCAAATAAAACAGCTTTGTAAAAATATACAAATTCGTTCAAGGTCATTGCTTCAAATTAATCGATATACTTCGAACAATTTTAAATTTCAGCCACGACTTTAAGAATTTCCCTTCCGCCTACTCCTTAAAATATATCAAGACATTTACTCATCTTAAATGTCTAGAAAGCCTACATATACTAAACATATATTTTCGGTACACCCTTTTACTACAAAGAACTGTTCTATTATACATACGAATTGTCCCTTCTCGATGTAATTACAAGGGAGATGAACGAGAAATACGGTCGGAAGGTTACGACGAGAAGGAACGAAGTCCAGTCTCTCCAATACAACCCGATCGGCATCCAGACCGCAACTACTAGGACGAGAGTTTCATTTCACTACGCTCTGCGGCGCAACGCGTCCTCACACAGCGCCGTCGCTACAGGGACGCATGCACCTTAACAGCGTCCAATTCTTTTCCCTCAGTGCCCATTTCCAAAAAATCTCTGACGACAGACGAAACTCGATTTAAAATACAAGGCAATTGGGAAGAAGAAATCAGATTTAAAACATTTCTAACACCTTTCAGTCTGTGCCTGCAATAAAGACCTGATCTTATAATGGATTACTGAATGGATATAAATTAAATTTAGTATTTGCAGTCAGCACCAAAAGGTCTTGTAGCACATATCCCCACTTCACATGGAGCCCAAACGGAATTTTATTTCCTCAGCGGGGGGGATGCATAAGAAAAACATAAAACTCGCCGATATTTACAAAATTTATTTGAAAGCCATTTCGATATGGCAAAAAACTTTTACAATAAATTCTAAATAAATTTTTAATTTTAATCTAAACCAGATATACATGGGTTAATCAGCACCCCAAATAATCTGGGAGTCTTCTGTACCGTTTTGCTGAAGAACCATGAAACAAGTCAGCGCTTCCAGAACACCCGCGGGTTTGCAGCAATACCAATTTCAGGAAGTTCCAATTTGCCCCCCGGGTGGCATCCGCCCGCCTCTCTCCTAGAGTCTCCATTCTTTGCACGGTTCTTGATCACAGATTGAACTGTCGTCGATAAAGGCAGCTTCATCGGTACTGGATTGATTTTCTGACAGATAATTTGTTAAAAGGAAAACTAACATCGATTGCCACATTACTGGCATTCTCATGAACTCCTTCGCGACGCTGAAATTTGAATTTAATTCTGCATACAATTACGATTAATCCGTCGCTGATATTACATTTAATTTATCCTGTTACTTACATGGCGTTCTTTACACAAAGTGCATATAATAAAGGCTCGTTTCAGCTCAGAAACTAGCGCACGGATGTCCACGAAACTTCAAAACACAATCAACTAGAAGCTGGAATGAACCTATCTTTTTTTTCTCATTCTTATTCTTCTCACATCTGCCATCGTACGACGCCCTAACCACGACCTCAGCGACAAGTACAGATTTGATTTGAAGTTATTTACGACACGGTAACAATTTAATTAAATAAAACAGAAATCGGTTTTAACTACGTATGCACTGTGGTATTTGTACTACGAACAGCCACCTGTACGGAACACAGGCCTTTAGAAGCTCAGCTAGTCAAGGAATTTGCCACCTTTCACGGAATTAGAGATTCATTATCGTCAATTGAATAAAAATCTCCTTGGATATCATCCATCGTCTAGTAAATATAAAACGTAAAAAACGACGTTTCGGAGATGGGACTCTATCTCCGTCTTCAGGTTCCTACACAGTTGGGCCTAAGGAAATTTTTATTCAATTGACTCTTCACCATCGTCAAGAAGTTTTAGATTTGATATTCATTATCGTGTTCACAAGGGCGTAATTATCTTCCCAAAATATATCTCGCCTGCAATTAATTAACGCGATGATCAATGAGTTATGGCATCTAGCACTCCTGTTTTATATTCGGGAAGTCCCGGGTTCAAATATAGGAGCGGATGTGTACTTTTTCTTCATGATAATATTGTAAGCAGCTCAGATTGCATAATGTATAAGGGGCTAATAAATAATACACCTAAAAGGATATCGAAGAAAAGCATGACTTAAGTCATTATCCTGGAGAAACTGAGGACAACCACAGAAAATCTTAATCAGGACAGCTGGTCTCATGGCGAACATCTGAACACGAGACCTCCCGATTACAAATCAGGAGTTCTATGTTCGATGAGATAAGAACTGAGGTATCGCGTGGAATCGTGGTTTATCTCAGTCTCTCGAGACAAATACCGAGATACTACCTTAAATTATGCATCAGCCATCTCGTAAATGTATCAAATCGCAGCTTTTAAAAACACTGTTAAACAAACAGGAATATAACGATAAAGCTGACCGATTAAGCTTAGAGCTAAAGAGAAAATATTTAATTTTATTTTGACTTTAATTTTTCAGCAACCGTCGTCTGTCTAAGGTGCGTTTGCAGTCGAAACATGTTCCTTTGGACCTCCCTTATCGAGTCTCCTTCGTTGGATTTTCAGGATCCTTCATTTTGCAGCTGAAGATGATCTACGTTTTTAGTGTCAACTCGCAACACGGCGTAGTCCCCTGCATGTAAAGCCGATTACCTCGTAGGACTGTCATGCTTTTGGCCTGACAGTTCTGCCAACTTCTTTCGAGTGTTAAGGATAACAACCTCGTAGTATCTGTTGGTTTCAGGCTTCTTCAACGTCTTTTTTTTATACTTTGCTACTCTGTAATAACTGCTTGGGGTCAAACGTAATGCTTACTTAAACCCTTCTCAGAGCACAGCGTATTTGTTCTCGCTAACTTTTATGTTTTATGTCCCATAGCAATTTCTACAACACAACCCACACCATTGGGTCCGGTCCCTGTAACCTCGTTTCAATCTTCCCTTCAGCCTCGCTACAAGGAGATTCCACAGAGACAGAAAGCAATAATTATAAATCTGTGACCCGCAAGCCGCTGTCGACCTCAAAATTCCGGTAAACTTAATATTCATGGTTCAATAAAACCCACCGTTAGCTCGTCCATGACGACTGAATAACGAAAGGCGACGAGTGAAACGGTCAACTTTCGTTAAAACTCTCTCCCGCTCCTCACTCATTCCCTGTCAGATACATTTTAATATTATCCTCCCGTCAACGAATAAGTTTCCTAAACGATCTCATCTCTTCAGCGTTTCCGTCTAATCTGCGTCGAAATGTAATCTATCCTATACGTGCTACATCTCTTATCTTCAGCCATGTGCTCATATCCTGTTGGATACCTGCCCGCGCTGACACTCCATCAATCAGTACAATCAAATTCAACTCGCCACCTACCGCCTGCCCTATGTAAGACCTCCGAAACCGCCCGAACATTATATATTCGCCCTGAAGATGGCAACCGCAATGACTGCCGAAACGGATAATTTTCGGTAAACGACGTGGCTCATCCCCGAAAGTCGAGCAGCGAAAACCTTCGGACGAGAATAAATACGTAATATTTTAAAAATGTCAATTCTTACCTCCGAGAAAGAACATGGAACCTCCATTCCAAACGTCAGCCGGGAACTGATGTTTAAGGTATTCTGAAAACCAAACGGAACCCATTAATACAGTCTGTGCAACGTTATAGCTTGCGGTACGTATAATTACCACCGCCCTATAAACAGTTAAGAAACCTGAGATTATGAATAAAAATATTTTTTTTTGTAATTAAGAGTCTGATGTTAGATTTCGGGTTCTCAAGGCGAAGTCTGTGAACACGGGGTGTTGCGTCGAGTAGTGAGCTCATCAGAAACATTATCTACCAGATCCCAGAAGGCAGTCATCTTAAATGAGTCTAATTCTTTGTGGCATATGAAATTCCTGTACCTCACATAGTCCAGAGGTCATATGTGATCTTTACATTCCAAGTAATTTGCTTCAGTATGAGCTAATATCGAGTCCTCCAGGCTAAACCCACTCTCCTTACAAAGTAATGCCATGGTGTAAGAGTCATCAAGAAACAGATGATGACGAATCATGTTGCTGTATGGATTACCAAGAAAAAAAGAAGAACTCACAATTATTTTGATTTACTTCTATTCTAAAACTCAAACTCAAATTGTACTTGTTACATTTCATGGATGTGAAAGTTTGTCTCTCAGATTAACAGATACAAATTAAAATCAGGGCCATTCAGAATAAAATTCTGAGAACGCATTTGGACATAAGACAAAGAAGACAGTCAAGCAAGTCTACCTTTCAGACGTTTCACGTAACAATTTTTAAAAACCTTCCATGAACATTCACTATTTATTATATTTTTATTTAGTTTTCTGTCTGACGACAGGTCCATATGAACAAGATCCTTCCATCCTTTTCTCGGACTGGGACCTGTTCATATACGTTCTTGGCAGATGATCCAGAAGTGGTTTGCCATTGCCTTCTTCTGTGTGTGAAGGGTTCTGTCTGACGACAGGTCCATATGAACAGGATCCTTCCATCCTTTTCTCGGACTGGGACCTGTTCATATACGTTCTTGGCAGATGATCCAGAAGTGGTTTGCCGTTGCCTTCTTCTGTGTGTGAATGGAGTAATTGTTGGGATGTCACGGAGAAACTGTGGAAGCCCCCGGAGGAAAACTCCGTGTTGCCTAGACCACTGCCTTGCCCAACAAAAGTTATAAATTCGGGCACCGCCGGGAATCGAACCCGAGACCCCCAGGATTACAAGGCCAGCGTTCTAACCGCTAGACCACCGTGGCGTGAACATTCACTAAGGATTTAAAAACATCAAACCCATTGTTTACATCAGAGTTTCATTCATTTGCATGTCAGAAAAAGAACAGTAAAATATGAATAAATGGACGTGTGTACGTGTAACTGCATGAACAGAACCAGAATTGTTCTTCAATAAATCATTATCCAATTTGTACTGAAAACGAAATAATCTGTAACTCATTTATATTTCATAGATCCATTCAAAGGTTACACTGTGGAAAGAATAAGGGCATATCTCCAAGTCAAAATCTCGTAACAACAAGGACTGGATTAGACTAAATGAAGGAATGGATGGTTCGATGACGGACACAGATGTTGACAACCGATCTGTTTTACTAAAAGATCGACCTCCATTGTCCCATTGTCTACCACCAAATGAACACAACAATGAGAGATGTAGAAAACCCAGATAAAACGCTTCAATTCAAGATTGACTGAAACAGATAATACAAACGTTAATTGTGTTGTCATCTGATAATAAAGTACTGATTGCTGATTAGTTATTCAATTAAGCTGCAACAATATAAAGTTTTCCAGCTAAAAACGGTAACGGGAGTTCCAAAACAGAGTTGCCAATTCGACAACTTTACACGTTCCCAGGGCAAATACCACAAGAAACCCTTTTTTCCCCTTATTTTAAACGATCAAGCCTGTGTTACGTAATTAATACCGAGCCAACAAACATAACCAACTCAATGTAGACTACTTCTCGAGGACATGGTCGCTCAGCTGGCCCTTTATAGAAATCAAAGGTTCAAAACAGTCAGCCATTATATACGAAGCAAGTTGAATCTGCCCCGTAACTTCACACTCTATTTAAGATCCATTTTAATATTATCCTCCCTCTGCGTTTATGTATCCCAAGTGGACTGTTTCCTCGAGGTTTACCTACGAAAAGAATGCCTTATCCATCCCATTTCCCTCGACTTGATAGCTCTAATACATGAATTATTCAACTGTATAGAAATGTAAACGCTCTGAAGGCCACATCACCTCCGTGATTAGAGTAACATCAGCATGACGACAGCGCGAAATTCTGAAGTGGGGGAGATATTTAATATAAGCCCCTGATAATCTGTGCTTTGATAGATAATAAATGCCGTATTTATCATTACAATTATATTTTGTTTTATATGTGTGTGAAAACGTCACAAACATTTTTCGGTGCGATAAATATTTAGTGAAATATAAAAAAATAACTCCTGACTACGGGGTTCGGTACCCGACTTCGAAACAATAGATTTCTATCTGTAAAAGATAATAAAAACGTAGCCGGTAACAAAAATAGCAAAGAATATATCGGGAAGATATGTGTACTCCAAGGTGGAGTAGGGCGTTCTATTTTTGCTCAGAAGAATAACGACTCTGAAGCGAAATCCTATGCACCTGGGTCCTTCTTGTTCTTAACACTCGGTGCGTCATTTGTTTAAAAAATGAGAGGACTGATTGATTACTCGGTCCGACTTAAACCGAACTTACGGTGAGGCGTAGCATTTTGTGGTGCTTGAAATAAATCCAGTGGCTTTAAGGGATTTTCAGGTTCAGTTCTAAGACCAAGAGATTGCTACAGGAAATCCAAACAACATGATAAGGTTAGATAAAAATTTGTGTCTTTCGCAATTCTACAATGTTATCACATCAGAATTATAATTCTGTGAACATCACAAGTTTTAATCCCTTGAAACGCGAAGTGAGAGTTTGATAACAGCGAAGATAATCGAGATAATATTTATAAAACCAGTTCTCATTATTATTATTATTATTAGAATTGAATTGAATTGAATTATTAGCTAAATCAAATTTATATTCAAATACTATCATCTGTTCGTTGACCGCTTCAGCCCACACGGTGTTATAATCCAAAAGAAAAACATCGACATCTGAGAATACCAAATCTCAAAAACTAACAATATTTTGTGGCAAAAGCCTATCAAAGCAAATTCTTTCTGGACATTATACACCGTCCAAGATTAAATAAAAAAAAAATACGCTTCGGAGATGGGAGTCTATTTCCGAAACGTCGTGGTTTTATTCATTGTATTTAATCTTGGACGATGGACAATGTCCAGAAAAACAATTTGCCTCAACAACGCACCATCGTCACAAACGTTCAGACTTGAAAAGCCTGTCAGCTCAGAGACAATAAGTAACTAATAAGAGGATAGGAAAAGTTTAAATTAATTTCTTAGAGTGCCAAATACGGTACCACCATTGATTTACGGCATCAGAACATCAAAAATGACAGAGAAAGACCCGAATCAGGTACAGCCAGTTGAGATGAAGTTTCTTAGATCTGGTCATTCTCTCTTGAATAAGAACGAAGATACGTGGGAAGAAATTCAGATTTGCAACTTAAATGATAAGACTCCCACATATAGAAAGAATGGCTCCATATCAAACACTAAGACGAGTGAAGAAAATCAATTGCTAGACCAAGAAAGAGATGGCGGGAACAAATTCTGGGACAGAACAAGTTTAAATCTAATCATTGACCATTAATTACGGCTTTATTATCAATGTTATTATCGTTATTGTACTTGTTGCATATTTCTCTTAGGGTCAGGCACATTCCTCTACTCCTTGTCCATCAATTATGGAGTGGTATAATCACTGGTAAGTATCTCAAGTAAGAAATGCGATGAATTGAATTCAATAACACATAATAAATAAAACACAAAAAGCAAATATAATTTTGTAAAAATAAACTTATTTCTTTACAAAATAAAACTGGCCGCATTCACATTATGACATAAATCATGCTCACAGCATGAGGGGCTTTGAAAACTGTGTATGGATACACAGTCGGAAAATCCACTTGTGAGACAAAGATTTTAAAGAAATCACGTAAGATCTGAGGTTATCACAGTGGTTAAAATATTGATGTTGGTCTTCTGAGTTGTAATGGCATGTGGACTCATAGGTAGATGCCAAAATTTCAGCCCTGAAGATGGAGACAGTACGTTTCTCTAAAACACCGGTACCTACCTACACGTCCACACAATGTCGCAACACAGAAGACCAGCGCTGACGTCACATCATAATTTGTAGTGCTGCCTACTTACTTTTGCATAAAATCTGATTTTCAAAACTTTTGACTGAATACGCACTTCTGTTCAAAAGAATGCCACAGACTGACATATGAGGATGTGATGAAAGCTGGTTCAGGGGCACAATTCTCTCCAATGGACCTATTTACTCTGCAACAAGAAGACCTGGAACGAGGTCTTGTTTACCTAGGAAAGGACCCTCTATCAGCAGAACAAGCATCTTCTATATGGAAAACCTTGGTAAAGGTAAGTTAACCATGGTCATTTTTCAGTTACTAAAGTCTGGATATTACTAAAAACAAAATTTATCTCGTAGAAAGAAATGTTAGAAATGAATTTACTCCATGGTACAGTCTTTTGTGAAAGTTGTCAGCTACATGACAAAACAATTTCCCAGCTCTTACGATCATAATTAATTCTAACTTAAAATAAATTATTATTCATTAAGTTGGTAACATTTTAATTTTAAATAAAAATCCAGTTCACTTTCCAAGTAAAACCTTGAAAATTTGATCTGTTCCAAGATCAGGAAAGGAAATTTTTTCTTTTAATTTAAATTCTTGACTATAATTTACCATGCATTAATTACAATTCTACAGCATTATGAATTATAAAAATTACACGTAGAGCATTATACAGTCAGTAAAGTGATGAGCTACAGACTGGACGACTGAAGTTTGAATACCAGGATGCCCTTGGGACATTTATTTTCCACACCATTTCCAATTTCAATATCCATAGGGCTGAGATAATCATTTAACCCATAGCTATCCAGAATATGTTACATTCATACATGGGCGAAGGGAGGTATGAAGTTACGCAGCTAAGATACACAAATGAGCGCAAGACAGGTCGACGTGTTTGAACAGTTAGAGACTAATTTATATTGTTCACCACCTTGTATCACAACAGGGATATGGAGATGTGAACGAAATACCTGACAGATGTCTACAGCAGCTGGGATGGGTTGCTTCAGGAATTCCACCAGAGGATATGAGCAACCTCACACTGAACGAGATCGACACAATTGCAGCACTGGGGCAGTTCCATAACCTCTCAATGCCACAAGTATGCATTTGATTTGATATGACAAGTCTACTCGTGCAAAAATCAAATTACCATACAACATTAATATTTTATTAAAGTTTACAAAGTGGATTGCAATTATCCGCAAAGAAAGATCGCATCTTTCAGATATCAATTCACAAAACATTAAAATTATGACAGAATGTCATAAGATGCAATATTCCTTTCTGCCGATGTGACCAAACAAAAAACAATTACACCGTTCCTCCCAACACAAAACATCAGAATCCTACAGTACGAGAATCTGGTAGTCAAGGATGAGGTGTTGGTCTTGCGTCCAAAGTATCTCAAGAATGAGACCAGGCAGAAACAGTTCACATTCCCTTCCCTCACATGCAGAGTTCCGCGGTATACTGAGCTCCCGCGTTATCCATTTTAAGTCTGAAGTTCATATAAATATTATTTCAAAATCCAGTAACCACCACACGGACAATACAACATTTCTGCGTTACAGAAATCAATCGGTTACTGGTGTTTAAGGATATAATCACTGTTTATTTTGAAAATCATATAAAACTGAAAAAAAACTGTCTGCAGACAGAATGCAAAATTACTGTAAAGTTTTAAACTGTACGACACCCTGCTTATCATTATCTTCATGACATCCTATTAGCACCGCATTCACCCTTATCTGAGAAGCGGAGGCCAGATTAAGCAAGGGAAATATGTTAAGAAGTAAGTTAGAACATATGAATTTTATGACGACCCATTATACACTGAGGACAGAAACAGAATTTATGCTTGTTGCACAGCTCACTGCCCTGGCAGAACAAGTCCACAACAGTTGGGCAGCGAAGGAGCCTGAAGACTACACATTCTACGATCTGGCAGCATTACAACAAATACTATGCGGCTTCAACCGCACCGTAATCGAGAGGATACATCCTAGTGCATACAGGTAATGCTGGTTACCCACAAAGGAATACCAGTATTTTAAATTTAACATTTATTATATGATATAAGACAGAATGACAAAAAAATGTGAACAATAATAGTGTACATTTTCTATTTTGGGTGTATTATTTTGATATGATCTCAGTAGCTTAGCATGTTTTCAATCAGCAATTCAGCTTTTATATTCTGCATGTACTTTGAGGTTATGTTCAACAATTTTATATATTTTGGAAATCTTTTATATATTTTGAAGAAAAGGTGCTGGTACTGTATATGACTGTGCCAGAAAAAAAGGGGGGAACTGGCAACATGTACTGGAACACACTAGAAAGTAACAATTTTCCAGTGTGAGGAACGTATGATCATCAGTTTGCAGTAAAATTGTACATCCCCATGAACGTTTCAGTAATGCTGTACAGCACCAATTTAATGCCCAGTTTCCAAATACATTACGTAAAGGAGTAATTTCTTAGACTCCCCATTCAACAAGACTCAGTCCATTACATTTCTCTACTACCTGCTCCCCAGAAAGAAAGCTCCTCAAATAAATGAAATTTTCAATTAAAATAGCAGCACTTAATGGGGTCATAAGAAATGATCTACAGGAGCCACAGACAGACTGTGTAATAGTGGAAGGGAAATACTTTGAAGACACACGCAATAAAAACTACTGAAAGACAAACTCACATAGGAAAAAAAGTCACAAAACTCATTCTACCATGACTGTCTGTAACAGTGAAGCTTCCAAAACACTGGGACGACTGAAGTCCTGCCCTTTGGAGGTATTGCAAGGACTGGCTACTTTAGCTACTGACAGTGCAGCCTTTGGAAACACAGATCTTTGGACACCATCACAGGTAAATAATGATCGAAAGTAAATAATTTTGTTAGTCCAATAATTTTCCTCTATACAGACATGTATAAATATACACCATTAAATTTGGTAATTAAAGCTAGGATTGATGCATGGGCCTTACACAAGTTTCCACACACAGGCCATTCACATCAGTCTTTATGCCTGAAGATGACCTGGTCAGGATGAAACATGTAGTAGATAGTAAAATAATTTAGAATAGAAGTTGTGTAGATGGTTATTCTCATATACTTTTTATTAATTTAAATACACAGCAGGATGCAATCCATAAAGTTTACCTAATTAACTTTGTATTTAAATTTATTCAGTCATTGGGTACAATTTACAGGTAAATGCCATAGGCTGCGTACTGGGAGGGCTAGACGCACTTTCCATTGCTTCTATTCCTGCCAAGTCACTTGAACAACTGACACCTGACGCTGCTCTCTGTATGCCATCACATCTTATCAAGGTACACATTCACAATTAATTCTTCTCTTTTTGCACACCCTTTTAAGTCTGTTTCCATTTGATATCAACAAACAGCAAGGTCTGAGCTGTTATTTTGTGCTTTGTATTTGAGAGGTCCTGAATTCAAACCAAGGTTCATAGACCAGCTGTCCCGGCTAAATTCTTTTGTGATTTTCCTCAGCTTAAGGCATATGTTGTAACAGTATATTAAAATAGACCACAACTACTTCCTTCTAAATCCATTCCAATTCAAATTTCATACAATTATCCTATCACAGAATGCTACATAACCTCTATACAGTTGAAACGGTAACTGCCTTTCTAAAATTTTTGGTACAGAAAAATAAGTAAAAGCAAGCTAAATCACATCAGGACTTCTTGATTCTACTATCCAAACTGCATACAAAATGCAAACAAACTCTTACAGGCTATGTCAGCAACACAGAGAGAGAGACTACCTTCAACTACTACCAACTACTTCAGCAGAGAACAATGGACAGCGTTAAATTCATATGTGCAGGCAACTCATTGTAATACCAACAGCTCTAAACTAGACTGCAACAGCTCCCACAGTGAGTTGGTGCCATAAATATAACTTCAGATGATGATGCCAAAAGATTTATATAATATTGTCCTGTCAACAATTCCTTATACAAATTTCCATCAGTAGCTTACTAAGTCGGATGGTGCAACAACAAAGAAGACAACCATCTTCATACTCACCGCCACAAGAATTTGAAATCTCAAATAACCGACTGACTCGCTGGTACGGCTTTGAACCGAGCAGGACAATATCACTGTACGACAGTCACAACAGAGTAAACTTTAAATCCATTAACAAGTCAATAAGAATCTCCCTGAGAAGCAAATCCAATTTGCATAGTACACAAAGAAAATTTAGATATCAAATAACCTCTACTTCCTACTCCTGTTAACAGATACTGCTCTATTTGCATACTCCTTTTGACATCTTAAATTGATTTATTTTCTATCGCCTATAAACAACTGCTTTTATTTCAGGTCAAGCCCGGCCAGCAGAAATCCTAATCATCATGACTCTACTGAGAACTGCAGCTCTAGTAGTTTCAAAATTCTAACAGAATCTGTTCATTAATGACATTTGATATCAAAGAGAGTGTATTAAGATATTTAGGCTAGTATATTAACAATTTTAGTTTCTATTTTTAAACTATGGCTCTTAAATGTTCACCACACAACAAAATAAATAAACTCCATTAAGCAAAAAGCCTGTAATTGCTACGCTGGTCAAGAAATTCCCCACCTTTTATGAAACCTTAAGTCTTATTATTATTTTCACAGGGAACCACCTCTGGATCCCATCCTGTGCTATTCAAATCTAATTATACATAACCTCACACAATTGAGATCCATTTTAGTATTATATATCATATTATCATTTCAGAAGTGCCATGTGTGAATGAATACGACATCACGATCTGCATGGTTACAAGTAACACATATCTCTTTTAAGATATGTATTTGTTCTTTCATTGAAAATTCTTATAACTACTGAATACTGTCGACCTCAAAACATATCAAACCAAAATTAAATGCATTTGTAAAATATGGGGTTGCAGCAGTGTGGGTTTTGTGAATGTCAAAGTAAAGAATGATCTGGTCTTTAACACCATGCAGACATATGGGAGAGTGGAGGTAGAGCTACACACATTCTTAACCTCTGCAGTGAATGGATTTGTGTGTGTAACATCAGTCCCCAGTTTCTTTGCCAGAAACAAAGGAACCCCAATCCACTGGAAGGAAAGCGGAGTTGGCCACAAAGACTGTTCTGATGTCCTGGTGAAAAAAATAAACAAAAAACCCCTGTCCATAATGGGAGTGGAACTGAAGTCATCCAGCCTATAACATTAATGTCTGGGGTATTCTGTAGGATTAGGACTAATCCTACAGAATCATATTCTTAATTTTATACAAATAAACAAAATATTGGGTTCGCCAGGGCCATAGATGATCTAAAAGGAATGTCATTATTTCTAAACGTCAAAAGAATTTAAAAGTTGGCGACACTGAATAGTTATGCTTGAAGAGTGACAAAACCTTTTTGGCTGTTAATATTCATAATAGTGAGGATATGAATTAGTTTAATTCATAAAACGTGAATTACAGACCTTTTAGGTTATTTTCTGCACATATATTGGTGATGGGCAGAGTAACACCGGTTATACAGAATCAATGTGATGTGGATCCATATTGACACGAATAAATATGGCTGCTGAAGTTCGTAAATATGTACAATGCATGCGTACACAAGCCAAGATCTTCAAACACGATGAAGGTATGAGGGCGTATAGAGAATATATGCGTGGAAAAACCAGCATGTATTGATATTTGTTTAAATCGGACCGCAGATACAGTTTATAAAGATTACTCTATATCAATGCAAAAGGTTAGGAAATTTTTTCGTAGTAGACATAATGCTCCAATGATTAAGTATTTTGCTCGGTATAGCAAGAGTCGCGAAACTCCATAAACCATATCGTAAATGTGTTAGGCACCCTGAATGTCGTCCCCCCTTTTTTTTTCCAGAGTACTCATATTCTGTCGATTACTTCCGATGTGGGAAATGCAGCATTGAATTCTGTAAGATGGAAGAATTTGTATTACACAAACTTTTTGTTGAACACTGTGGCCTGATGCTGTGTGCCTCTGGAAGGATTCAGGGGCTGCAAATACCTAAGTATATACAATAATAAATTCTATTCATAGACACACAAGTAGTGTAACTATGTTTCTGGGTATAAATTTGCAATATGATGACCACTTCTTTAATCTGTTTTGCTTATATATTGCTCTGACATAGTTATAACTATATAAGTAATCAGTTCCAGGATTCATCAGCACAAAAGAAATGTCACTACAAATCCCTATTCTTTGTTGGTTTAATTCAATCAGAACAACCACAACTAATAATCAGTCGAAGGAATATCTCAAAATGCACACAAGTTCTCAAGTAGCTATATTCAATTCTGCATGCTTCAGCAATGATAATTTCTTCGTATGTTGTATGGATATGTTAAAGTTATCTGTAAAATGTTTGTTCTGCAGGTTTGTGCAACAAGCTACTGATGTTAAGTCTACAAAACTCAGAACAGAAAGTAAAGGATCTGAACAAGACACATGTGCTGAATCAACAGTTGCAAATACAACAGACATCAATTATGACGTAGACCTCCAAGTAGATGATCTGTTAACATTTAAACAAAATAACAGAAATACAGAAACAAACAGACACACACCAAAGCAGAAACAAAGACATTCTCAGGGCCAGCAAGCAAGCAACGTATTCGGTGCCGAAAATGACACGGACCACAATACAGAAACAGAGGTGAGAAGCGAGACAGATGAGCCATGGAATAATGAAAAAAGTGCATCCGATAGAGCGACTGGATCCAAGAGTGTCGTGTGTGATCAGTGTGGGAACAGATACAAAGATGTAAGCAAGCACACCAGATGATAAAAACCCTGTGGCATAACTGGACTCACGATGTCTTGATCCTTTCCTTGCCAATTAAACTGATTTCAGGATTGATGGCTAGATCTGCTAGGCCTGACTGGTGGATAGAAGCCTGTGTACTTTGTCTTCCCCTCATTCAACCCACCATCATCTCCTCTTCCATTCCTACTTCTCCACATTCTGCATCGTTCTTCTCTGTCTCCCTTCCTCCCCACATTTATTTTCCTTTCCCTGCCTTCATCTTCATTTGCTTCTCCTTCCTTCTACTCCTACCGCATCTTGAGAGTTTCTCTCATCGTCTTTTCATCTTATTCTATTCGTTCTTACCCTCTTCCTTCATATCTCTTTTCTTCTTACATGTATTTGTAACCAATTTCTGGTGCAGTTTTCAAATCTTCTCTTTTCTGCGAGGTGGTGCATGTACAATTGATGACATGACTGCTCTCTGTCGACTTTGAACCAAGCTACATGAATTGTCCTTACAACAACGGCTAACCACTGAGGTTTTCACCACTGAAGGGAGTGAGCCCCCCCAAGACAATGTCCCAGTGCTTTCATATGAAACACTGTCTGATGTTTCCTGCATTTTGTGTGCACTTTACCAAAGTTGCATTTAACGTGTAAAGAGGATGGGAGCAGTGCCCAGTTTTCACCTCAATTTTTATGTATTGTAAGCTGACACAGGAATGAATATCAATAATGTCCTATAAAATAAAGTACTCTTTGTCGTGCCTTGCCCTGATTACAAAAGTCCAGTTTCAGGTTATCATATTCTTCAAACTCTTCTTATAATTACAGAAGGTTATTCTGAGGACTCACATTTCAACGGTCCATAGTGAGACTCGTCCTTATCACTGTCAGCAGTGTCCTGATACTTTCAAAACAAAGGGATCCTTAGTTCGACACATAAGAAGGCACACAGGTAAAACTTCTGTGGGTAAAACGTTTGTTTCATTTATGCACACTATATTTTTTTCCTCAGTGCAAAGTGAACATAAACATGATTTGTAACATATGACTTCAGTTTATACATTTCCATTTATTTTTAATATTTAAAAGAATAAAAATCCCACATGGAATATTTATTCAGCTGGACCAATGCTATTTTATTTAAATGTTCCATAAGCATATCTGCAAAATAGTTGCAATAACATGTCCGTTATGTCTGCCTGCCTGCCCACTTGTAATGACTCAAGAACTGACGAACAGATATTCATAAAGTTTTACATTGGGAGTCTTCCTAAAATTTGTCGACTCTTTCCAATTCCAGTGAACATCAAACAATAGCGTGAACTTTATACAAAGACTTACATTCTTTTCTGCACACGTAAGTGACTCTAAAACCATGTGGGAAATCATTATCCAAACAGACGCCCCATCTACATGAAGGCCAATGACACTAGAGAACTGATGTCACTGTTACATATAAGACAGCATTCAGAAATTGAAAATATGGAGACATTAACAGTCTGAATTTGTCAGAAATGTTATGTTGTGCGTACATTTTCTAACTTCTTAATTTAACAAAGCTGTATGTTGGTACTGAACTGCAATTTTGAGAATGACTAAAATTTTATGAAGACATTAAATTCTATTTTTTATTTCCGCTAGACGAGAGACCGTTCCACTGTCAGTACTGTGGCCGTTCATTTCGTGAATCTGGTGCTCTAACGCGTCACGTAAAATCCAGAGTGTCCTGCCTTACTAAAACTGACGCAGATCTGCCTCGGTATGGCAAGGATGAGACATTGCAGGTAATGGGATGTTATGCTAAAAGCAAACATTTAGGAGATATTGTGTTATTGAGGTGTTTTCATTTTAGGGGAGATTACACACGTGCACATCCGTGAATATATACATATCTTAAGCCGTTTTCTTAGAAAGTAAAATATGATGAAAATAATGAAGAGTTTAAGAGTCTGAAAGAAAAATTTCCTTCCACATTACAGATTATTATTTCCAGAGTATCGGAGGAACATTGTAATACCAAGACTGATGAAGAGGATCACTGCAATACAGAAGACAATGACGCAGATGAAAACATAGTCATTAATCGTGATAATTGTGACTATAAATAATAAAAAAAAAATGGACAAATACAGCATTCCATAATATATTATATAAATACAAAATTATGTATTGAATAGAAAATAAAAGTCCCAGACAATTTTAGTGCTGTTCTTGATTTTGTTAACACTATATTTCAATCTTCAAACCAGAAGCAACTTTTTGTTTCCTTATCAAGAAAATTTCCGGAAATTAAATATTACTGCAAAAAGCTTGATTTATCTGGTTACATCAAACAAAGGGATAAACTCAAACTACCCAACCTTCAGCAGCTGACAGTTACTTAGCTGGCCAAGAAATTAATTTCTTTTGATGGATGTATTTCCCATCTTGGACAAAGGTTTACTGTATACAAAATTCAAGATACCTAATTTCTGAGGAAAATCCAAATTGGATAAAACTGGGAGTACAAGCAGAATATTACAGTATGTTCTGCAAACCCAATGAATGCAGTGGTTTTGAAGCAAGAATTTACCACGTTAGCACTGTGGGTTAAGTAACACTTTAAGTTATTCCAAAACATAGGCAGAGTTTGTCATTTTACTTAAAAAAATCAAATAGACACTGAGCTTATTCAAGGCACATAGAGAAAATGAAATCACAAGACTGGGACAATACAAAACACTTGTAACTTCTGAGTTAGTGTTAATAGAATTCGCTGTATAATTTCCGCTCTGAGGCAGTCTATTTAGAAGTTTCTGTAGGCCCATGAACCTCGTGAAAAGAAATATATGGTTCAAAAATTGCTAATTGACTGAACACACTTTGTACCTACATCGAAATTAATAAGGATTGTGTTCATTATGACTTTGGATATACCAAGACATTAGACTTTGGATCGCATTAAACCGAATCTGTACTGTTCCCACTATAAATTTTCACTTCAATCTGTTCTAAGGTAATATGCACAAATGGTAAATGCAAATAATAATTTATATTTATTTTGATTACTTGTTTACGATTATAAAATTTCCTTTGTACTTTCATGCATCAAATATCAACTCTTACAAGCAGGAAACTTGTACATCCTTTGCTAAAGCCCATATCTGTATGCACTGAAGCATGTTTCCTACTAAGGCCATGGGAATTCTTTTCTCCTCAGTCCGTAACAGTTCCATTGTTTGACCCGGCTCTAAGATCCTAATTCAGAAAGCGTTCGGCTACCGGCCATGGTATATGATAAAATGTGTATAAACTACACCGAAACGTTGTGTCTTACTGCAGAGGTTTCGTCGAAATATCATTTAAAATCGAGAGGTTACCTTATTCTAAGATTACACGTCATTACCAGTCTAACATCATTTAAGCCACGAATTTTGGTAAAACAGTTGCCCTGTTTATTGTTTAAGAAATACATTGAATTTTGAATGTTATTTCGGTGAACATTCTCCACAGGGATATCAAGTTCATTATCATTTAATTATCTTCTTCGGGTTCAACAATGTTTTAAAGAGTAACTAACACGATCAGTACCTGCCCTTTAAGCTGTAAAGTGTTGGTAGGGACAGGTGTAAACATTCGTGAGTAAGGCCGTCGTCTGCAAAGTTATTGTGTGTGCGAGCAGATGTTCGTTCCTGCCTTCTGCAAGCAGGAGAACGCGCTGTTAAAGTTTCTTCGACCGAAGAACGCGAGAGGATATTGGTGTACATCGGCAGTAAAATAGGAACAAATGGCGAGTATCAATGTTTCGTAATTTCACATGCGCTGTGTTTGTTGATGTGCTTTCAAGTCCATTTATTGCAGATAAAAATCGACTGTTGCACAGAAAATAGATCTTATCCCACACTGAAGAATATTTCACATTTCAATTACGAAAGAATTTTATGTTGCATGAAATGTTATATGTTTTGCCGTTTACAGAAATATGGCATAAGTTCTATTTGAGTTTATAGAATTATATTGGACGGACGGACACAAAAACTAAATTTATATCTTAATTGCGTCATGTTTGTGTTATATCAATACATATATTTATTTTTCCAGTCTATACACAAAACTTGTTTTAAAATAATGTTGTTAAAATTATTTATAACATTTACAATATAAATTGCATTATGTTATATTTTATGGCGCTTTTCTGTGTCGTATAATATTACATTTATCACAGCGCTTTTGATTTCGACGACATGTTTCGATGTTTACCACATCATCATCAGGCTTATCAATTCATATATTTTTAAAAACTATTGTACATTTGTGCATTGCGTTTATTGATTTTTAATTTTCAGTCTTCATCTTGATTTGTAGTATGCATTTTGATGTTCGTTATTAGATTGTATTGTGATGTGTCGGACATCTGATATCGACAGACAATAAACTGTTATTGTCTGTGGATATCAGACGTCCGACACATCACAATACAACCTGGTATGTTTAATTACCTTTCATTACGTTTCTATTATATTTGTATTACGTTTAAAACTTACATCCTTACACTCTTTGAATTGTTATTATATTTCCTATGTCAAAATCCATAATCACGACTTGAAAAAATTAATTTCACAGATAATGAACATCAAAATGCATACTCCAAATCAAGATGAAGACTGAAAATTAAAAATCAATGATATTACGGAACGGTAGACTGCAGGGCAGCAGGTGCAACAGATTTTAGCACATCACACACAACCCGATTTAAGGCATCTAGACGCAGCCTCCAAATTTAATGGAAGAAGCCTGAAGGTTAAACAAATAAAATCTAATGGGTAGAACAAATCAGTATACGCAGGGCAGCAAGTGCAACAGATTTTAAATTTTAATTGATAGCATTTTGATGAATATCAGCAACTAAGCTTTTATCGTCTCGTTAAACATCTGTCAACTAACCCTGGCAACGAGGTTCGTGGCATTCTGTCCTCTTATTTGAATATATAATTTAACGTGACGGTGGCGACACAGAGAAACAGTGAAATATTAATACGTATAATTAATTAAATTCGTCATGATTCACCATGTTCTTCGGACAGTTGTAATTTAAACTGTTTAAACGAGAACTGTTGCTGTGAAAAGAGTCGATATATCGAAAACACACATCGACATTAGCACGGAAACAAAGTATTTGAAAATTATGGTAAAAGTATTACATTACATGGTAGAAATATTTCGTTACCTGTAGACAGAAAATTGACTGGAACGTAACGTAAACGAAGTGTCGCCGTAGAAGTTCATGGCAAAGCACTTAACACACTTCACGACTTATTCAACGAGTAACTACACAACTTATATAATGTAAACAAGCCATAAGAACCTTCGGTCTGTCACATCCAGTTCAAGAGTTCTAACGACAGTGTGAGGTGTAAATCTGCGGTGATGCTTCTGATATCTACAATGGTGTTATCAACTGATTTGAAACTAATTTTGAAAGAATTATAAGTTGATCAGCAGGATTTTTGTAAACCATCAAAATTAATTTTGAAAAAATTAAGTTTAGTTTCGGTCAAAATTAAAGTTTTCTCTACAAACTACGAGTTCAAATAAATATCTGAAATGTGATGGTCCTAAGAAATAATATGTATGAAGAGTAGAAAACATGGTTCGACAGGCAGACATCAAATGTCTCCATCAAATAAAATAGGTTAGGAGTGAAAAAAAATGTTAGATTTTGAAGTAATTTAATACGATCCAAGAGTTGTGAAAGAAAAATAACTGGGCGGTATTTTGAAAAGTTATTCACCTCATGCAACTGGCACAGCGTCCCAAAATAAATCCCAAACCAGCCAGTAATATTATTATTGTTCAAGGTTCCCGCGTTTTGAGTTCGATTTCCAATAACACTCCGAGCTTGCGTCGTGTTGTGTGCTATTCATGGCGAACTCGTCTGCTATGATGCGGTTCTGTGCAAGGGGCATGCATGAAATTATGCTTGCTGGCCTCATGTGACCTGTTTTGTGATAAGTAATACTCAAACGTATGATGTTCGATAACTGTTGCTATAAAAAGGGAAATTACGTTTAGTTGTCATTAGTTTTCGTACTACTGATGCTATACGCGTCTGGTCTGTTGAGCAGTTATTTTTGGAGTGCTGTCGTGACAGGTAAATATACAGTTGTTAGCTCTTAAACACGAAAAGTGTTGTCTTACGATCTCTAGTCCATTTTCCGGGTCGGATTTTGACGTGTTATAAAACACTGGAAGTGTGCTTCGTATTGTGAACAGTCATTTCAACCGGAGGGGGTGTGGTACAACTGTGACGCTAAATACAATATTTGATAAACACGAAACTTTCAAAAGGTTGTGCAACATATTTCAACATAACACGCCATTTAATATATTCAGTGACTCGTTTTCAAACCGCAGGTCGCGATATTAAGGATTGTTGTAGTTAATACTTTTTTTTTTGTGGATCACTCAGGGTGGTATGAACTACCTCCATGGTAAGTAACTCTGTTTGAGAAGCTGATAGTCGCTCTGATGGTCAATAAATCTGCTTTTCATGAAGCCTGAAGTTTCATCACTGGATTCCAATCTGACCCAGTTGAACTTCATACTCTGTTTCTTTAAGAGACATCCTCCCATCTACGCCTAGGTCTACCAAGTGGGCCTTTTCCCAAGTTTTATAACTATAATTTTGTTTGAATTTATTTTCCACGTGCTACATGCCCATCTATCTCACAACAGCTAATAGCTAATACAGATGAAGTGAATGACTGCATATAATTTGAGATATAATGTTTGAAATATATTTTCTTCTGCTAAAATAATAAAGTGTTTTTTTGTGTGTAATTGGACGTGATAAAGAGGGAGAGGCGACACCTAGAAAGTTTTTCAACAAAATGCATCACCAGAACACCTTATATTGTAAAGTATCAATTAAACATCCATCACTTCTTGTATCAACATTTATGCTGTGCTTCAGAATCAATCTTGAATTTTTATTTTAAAAAATTACTTTTGTCTGAATTGTGTTTTAGTGTTCCCAGACTTGTGAATCCTGAATAACATAACTTCTCCACATGGCTAGATGCTTTAACTTTGGAAATGTCTCCGAAGAGGATAGGAAAAAATGGACTGACAGACTGCAGAATGTGTTGGACAGTCCTACAGCACAACGGAGATTCAGTGATTTCCTCGAGAAGCGGGACTTAGAAGCAGGTCGGGAACTACTGAAATTCTTGGGAAATTGTCAGGAATTTCTAAGCGAGGCAAATGGGTACGACGAAGTGAAGCTTTTGGAGGAGGCTCAAAAAATTGTGAATTTAGCAGATGATAAGATTAACCTTACTGCAGAAATGTACACTCTAAACGACGCAGTCAAGAGTCGAGATATTAATAAAATCAAAGTGGCTATCACTGCTGCACAAAAAGAGGCAGCTACGTTGCTACAAGATGAAGGATATAAAGAATTTTGTGCACACCTTTTACCAAAGAATCACTGATGGATGAAAACTAATACATATGTCAGATCATTTGTTGTTATTTGTGAATACAGAGATTGATTGATTGGTTAAAAGCAGTGCTCCAGAAATATAACTCAAATATACTAGTCACGTAACAATATCTGCCTACCCATAGTCTCAAGTGAAGAAACCGACGTCTGTATCTTAAGCAGAGGTTAAAAATTCAGCATTTAATACTGAATGCTAAGATCAGGTAACAAAATCAATATAGTATTAAAAATATATTAAAATTAGCCGTCAATCACAATATAATATTATTAAAAGATTAAAATATCATTTTACGTTCCCTATCGAGTACTCGATTTACATGTGGAACATACACGACATGTTTCTGCTATATATAGCCATCATCAGGTGTTATGTATTTAAAACTCTTCACTGAATTACTGATTTTTTACTGATTTTTAATGACTTTTTGTCTTCATTTATCTTATAAAATCAATATAGTCTTCAGCTGCCTTGTGTGTGGCAGTTTGTTTATTTTATATATTTAATCTGAGACTAAAAATATATTCACTGCTGGTATTGTCAAGTGAATGAGTATATTTCTGGATGCCTCGCCAAATGAATTATAAAGGTATATGTTCACAGCAATTACTGAGTGATAAATTCCACGATGACAGACCACTCAGAATTTCCATAAATGTAATAACTATCAGCGTAAGAAGAACAGCTAAAAACGTTCAGTCATAATGTGTCAGTATTACTGCGAATGGTACAAAGAATATTTTGCATTTTCAAGTTGTGAAAAGAATAACGGTTCCTTTGCATCTATTATAATTTTTAAATGTGTAGACACTGCCTAAGTATTAAATATAAAGATATGTAATAAACTACCTCACTCAGTAGACTGTACTTTAATTTACAAGACCTTTGATTTCACTTTAAAAATGTAATTAGCTTATTTGTATCTTAAAATGATATGTGTTGATAGTCTGTAAAAGAAAATGTTACTTATGGTCTCAAGATACTTTAATTTGTTATTCTAAGGAAATATGGTTTATTGTTTAATATTTTTAGAAAGAAGTGACATGTTATCACTATATAAAAGAGTTTTCTTTCTTGGGTGGTGATTATTGTATTTGTCACTTCTTTTAACCTCTAAGAGAAATAAAGGACCAAATCAAAATGATACTGACTACCTTTAGTTTCCTTTTGATGAATTTTGACATATTAAGTAGCAGACGGCGTAAAATTAATATAATGTATTGCCAGTACAATCCTACCTTCATTTTGAAACAAACAGGATCTCCGCTGTCCTCACTGCATTGTCATTCATTCGCCTGAAAAATAAACATTATGGGGTTAGCACTCCTCCTTCAAATCACGAGTATCTAGTTTGGTTCTCGGGCCAAATGACAGCTATCCTCATTGAAGTTTCTTGTAATTTTCATCGGTTACATCGGGCAACTGTTGGAATAGGCCACATCATTCCCAATGGCAAGGACGAATTACAGATTTTGCAGAAACACATCAACAGCATCCACCCAAGCATTAGTTCACAATGAAAACAGAAGATTAAAACTTGTTACTATTCCTTGACATGAAGATTTCTCTCCTCTGGGTTGTTGCGCTGTGTAGTATGGTTGATGGTTACCAACGTTTCAGAGGTCATACTGCCTCCATCATCAGGGCCCTGATGACGGAGGCAGTATGACCTCTGAAACGTTGGTAAACATCGACCAGACTACCCAGAGCAACAACCCAGAAGACAGAAATCTTCATACTCTGATGACGGAGGCAGTACGACCTCTGAAACGTTGGTTAACATCGACCAGACTACACAGCGCAACAACCCAGAAGACAGAAATCTTCATACTCATCGCCCTGATGATGGAGGCAGTATGACCTCTGAAACGTTGGTAAACATCGACCAGACTACACAGCGCAACAACCCAGAAGACAGAAATCTTCAGACTCGCCGCTGTGAAAACTTCAAATCTTACATTCCTTGACGTGTTGGTAAAGAGAAACCCAGACGGCTTGCTGAGGCATATCATCTAATGAAAACCCACCCATACAGTTTTCTGGGCTTCAAGGCCCCAGACATATACATCATCCCTTTTTAATGTGGCAACGTATGCTCAAATTGGGCAGTTTATTTAATGTCATACCAAAACTCAAGTTTACATGTAAATTACCACTGCCCCCCTAACAGCATACAATCTACTGAAGCATCAAAACGTTATCTGTCCTACAGTGTTGCCATTATAACAAGAAATATGAATGCTTTCAGTTGCTAGGAACATCTCTTTACATACAGGTTGGTTGTTAGACTGTCAATTCTGAGACATTCTGTCTTCAGATTTATCACAACGCCTGGAAATAGCACATACATTTTGATTCCGTTCTATATGATGAATGGATGTGATGTGTTCGAATATCTAATTTTATTCTCTAAGAACAATTTTATTCTTCTTGTAGATCGCTTGAATGGATTATTACTGAATCACATTTCTGCATGGCGGGATGTTTGAGCTGTGGAGGAGGAGGTAACATTTCTCCAGAAAGTGTCAGGAGATGGACAGAGAAACTATCGAATGTGTTACTCAGTTCAATAGCAAGGCAGAAACTTCATGACTATCTTGAATCTAGGGACTTGGAACAAGGACAAAGACTACTGGAATTCTGGGAGAAATGTAATACATTCCTGATTCAAGCTGAGAAATCAAAGCACCTCAACCTGGAATGGAGCCGAGATACTCCAGAGAAGAGAGCAAGGTGAGAAAAATGTTTGATGTACACCACTTGATATTAAAGCAAGCAGTAGGTAGATGGATTCACAGACGGTATAAAATTTGCCTCATTGCCCTAGTACCAGACCTTACATACAAAAAGTTCAGAAGCAAAGCGATGAAATATAATAACAGTGAGTTACAAATAAAAATGACTTTTTAAATATATTATCTGTGTATGAGCACCATTTGTAATTACAACAGTACAGAAATGAAATGTATTCTTCTTTTTCACAAACAGCTTTACATGATTTTGTGTTCTAATGCATACTAATGGCAAATTAGATGCAGTAACTAACTTTGTATTTATTTAGGTCCCCTACGGGTCTTGGATCAATCCAAAGGCATTGCAAAACAACACTGAAGCAAGAGGCGCAGTTCATTCTAAAGTTTGCAGATTCTGATATTAACTTTGATCAGGCACAGATGCAAGCTTTATACACTGCGATCGAGAGTGAGGACAATCATACAATAATGCGGGCTATATCAGAGGCCAAACAGAAATCAGCTGAAATGCTGGAAGAAGAAGGATACCACGAGTTCTGCCGATACCTGCTTAAGGGACAAGGGTTATTGAAAGAAGGAGACTAAAATGTTTTAAATGTCGTAAAACGGGGAAGGAAGATAAGCTATGATTATAGAGACCAGAACAATTAAGTATGCAGCAATGAATGAATAGAATGAACAGATTAACCTGAGTTTTGTGACATTTCATAAAACTTCCTGCAATGTGAAGCCACAGCATTCTTTCCTGTTTAAGAAATATTTGTAATAAAGTGCTTTATTAATTTTTTAATGTTTTGGTGCATCACAGTCAATTCTTTTATATCTTGGACCTTATTCATCATCCATGTCCATCCCTTAAAAGCAATCTTTTGGAAACAGGCTGTGTCTTAAATCAAGGAGGAACCCCTTATTAGGTTAAATGTAGCTTAAAGATGGAGAAAGTTTCTGAAATATCACATTTTAAGAATAAACCTACACAATGTACAAACTCCAAGTTATAAAAACTGGCAATAAAGTATGTGATGCACTAATTGCACCATAACATCAAAATATTTAATTTCCATCTTTGATCATATACAAAGGGATATTTAGTTTTTTCTGTTCATCAGTGTCAAAAAATTAAAGCTTTATGCAAGAAATGTATCAAATTAGGTTTACCATATGAGATTTAGTTGCTCATGATGGTGAAAATGTCTGTTGTGATCAACATTTAACACATTTTATGTTCATGGTAGGTTGCGTAAAATTATAGTTTATTTAAAATTAAACTATGAGCAAACTACTAGGCATGTGAACGATCATTACATTACATTTTCAATCACTAGCAGCATCGCTATACATTTCCTACAACCGTGATGCCAAACCCATGCCAAGTTATTTTCTGATTACAGTAACACTGCTGATATAGATGGCGAATAAATGAATTTACATGGAATGGTGTTATGCTAGAAAGCTTTTAGGGTGCAAGCTGCCACTGCTTTCCCAGCCAACCATTAGTCATAATCTAAAGTCTCATTAAGCCAGTTCACATCTCATATCCTATTCTTCCAAAGAGCCAGTTTTTTTTACCCAGCTCAGTTTCCCAAGTGCCTGCTTTCTGAAAAATTTGTCATTTTTTTTTATTTTTTGTAAAAATTCCAACCTGACCAAAACAATTAAAAGGGCAGCTTTTGTTTTTCAAGTCAACCCAATTTAGCCACTCAAATACAGAATGATTGTGTTAACAACAGACCTACCAGATATAACGTCCTGTAACAAGCAATAAGAATATCTAGAATCTTCCATTGATGGCTGTGGACAACACAAGACCGCGTGCCATTTTTTTACACTCGTATACAACGGTTTTTCGCTATATTTGTGCAGTAATCTCGCTACCCTGTCAAAGCCACGGGCCACCAATTTTAAATATATTTGTTTACGAAATTAACGCAGGAATTTCATGGCCCAGTACGACACGTCATTTCGGCCTCGTGCAAAGCGCCGAAAATGCACACTACTTGGGTCTAAAAATTTGTCTAAACATACTATCAGTGTTGTCCACATTTTCTTAAATCACCCACCAGTTACGATTCACAACCTCGTAACCACATTTTTCATTTTTTCGGCGAAAAACTAACCTTAAAAGTTTGAACGACAGTAGGTACAAAAAAGCGCCACACTACTAATCAGGACCATAAATGCATCACCAGAACACTATCGATAATGTTAATGACTATTATGATTCTACATTTAGACACTAGCGCTATACGACGCGGATTTACAATTGTTGGTCTGGAGTTGGATTGGCACGGAAAACTGCGCATGCGTATCAGTATACCCGTATACTCGGTTGTTGTTATCTGTTACTTCGTTGATATTTTTATAACGATTCTAAAATCCATAAGCGAATTTTGGCCTCCGGAGACAGCTAGTAACAACAATTAACATCTCATGCATATCCAAATAAAATATAATAATTTGTCATGTATTGAAATAAAATATAAAAACTTCCAAGTATATGTCATTTATCCACACACATTAACCTAATCTAACCTATTTTTAAAGCGATGTCTCGATAACCCACAAGTACCCAATTTATATGTCGTTTTCTTGAAAAAAAAATAAATTGGAATGGGATAAGGAGGTAATAACATAACTTAAAGTACTACACCGTCTTTTTTCCAGGGGCAATAAAAAGAGCAAGACATACCTATCAGGACTGCCAATTTCTGGGACGAGACTTGAACCTGGAGCTTCCCAAATACAATGGAGTGCTAACCACAGCTGTGACGTTCCATTGTATTACTAGAAAAATGTAAAACCAAACATGTTCAATGGGTCACCGCAGAGGCTAGATCCTATCCTACGAGGGTTTAAATGCCCTATTCTCACATATAAAAGTCAATTATTTTCTCACCTGTATCGAACTGATCTTTTCCCTCCATTATTTTCTGAGTTTAAATAATGATACGTCTTCATTTCCTCTAACTTCTTTTCCTTTTTGTACATGCACTGGAGCTTCTGCGGAGTAACAAGAAATGAACAAGAAGTAGTACGATCCTTACCCGGAGCACTATGAAAGTAGAACACTATAAGAACAGTTCATTAAATTAAGGACACTGTGGTACAGATAAGAGTTATGCAGGCCAAGGTGATAAATTTCCTGTATTAGGAATAAATAAGGTAGTAGGCTATAAAATAAGCACATGTAAAAATATCTTATTTATAGTATGACAAAAACAGATCACCTTAAATTAGAACACAGCTGAATACAAAATTTATCACATATAAGCATAAGATATAAAATTGTTATACATAATTCCATTACATAACAAACAATGTTTTTCACTAATCTTTAACTGCCAAGTGTAACTATATTTTCCCATAACTGAGATGCAAATACTGGACTTTGAGGTTAGGTTACAACTGTAGAAAATAAGTTAGATTATGATTTGGGCCCTTTGTGAATAATTAGATATTACAATATAACCACAATGATTAACAATATGATGTAAAATACATGCTGAAATGTAGTAAGAACCAAGCATCCTCTTACAAAGCGTGTCATACTTGATTAAAAATGACAATCTATGATTATGTTAAATATTTATCAAAAAGTTCCTTATTCTTTTATTACTTTATTATGTATTCCATCCCATGCCACTCTTATGTTTTGCAGACTACCCTGATGCCAGTCTACCAGCTGCCTAGGGCATTCATATCTCTCACCGTCATTACTGCATTTGCCTCTTCCCTTGAGTCATGTACAGTATGAACATGATGATATGAGTATGAAAACAGTTATGAGAAAAAGTTATATTTTCATAATTTAACCAAATAATATTTGTTGATAATATTCCTTAGCATATTATTTAACAGTTATAAAATGTATTTAAGATTTCAAAAATGTTTTACATACGATTATTGCACATGTATAGAATAACTCTGTTAAGGAATCTGTACAAATATAAATGCATCTCATAATAATAAAAAGACTATCATTATGTTACCGCACATAACTCCTTCACATTTAATAACTTATTTTACACATATATATATTATCTGAGGTTAGATTTATTATAAAACCCATAATTCGGAATAAGATTTTAACAAAAACAGAACAGAAGCAGAGACTGATTCATGCAATGATACAGGATAATCAATTCAGAAGTTTTAAAAACATGAAACTCATTTCTCAGAAAACAGTAATCCATGTTGATAACAGCTTACAGATATTTCATTATTACACTTTGTACAAAAGCACCAATTTAAAGTATACATAAATCTTACAGGTCTCTTTTCATGTGTTTAATATTTTATATTCAAACTTGCCAAAAATTACACGCAGTAAACAGAACTACCAAGGCAATTAAAAAGATATACTGTTTTCTTTAGTTACATAAGACTAGGACTTATGCACTTCAGTAACATTAACCAATATTTAATAATGGCAAAATGTACTAAACAATAAGATAAAAAAAATTACTTGTATCTTGGGTCACAAACAAGTTCACTGTGTGATTGGTTAATTGTTGGTTTATTTAACAACACAGTCAACTGCCTACATTATGTAGCACTGAATGTAAAGATTATTTGTGAATGAGCATCTGGAAAGAATGTGGAAATGGCCATGGCCTATTTTAAGATATCCTGGCACATGTGCGACTGAGGAAAATCACCAAGAAACCTCAGTGAGGACAGCTAAACTCCAGGCTGTGATTTGAACCTGCGACCTCCTGAATATGAATAATGAGTGCTCCACTCAACAGTAAAGTGACATTCAGTACAGACACAAGTCTTACGTCAACAGAATTCTATTTATGGACACGATATAATATTTAATTGTGGAAAGTAAATACATTATATTGCAATTCAATAATTTTTCTTGTTGTTAAGATATGTAGGTAAGAGTCCACATCTTTTGTTGAAGAGATATGCTTATGTTTTAACATCAGCTGCCAAGTACAGGAATGCTTGTGCTGATGATTCTGATAAGACTTAATCTCTAAGTATGCCAACCCCGAGTTCATAAAAGCCTAAATCTTGTCATGAAACATTGTGACCATGAAGTCCCGGAACACTGTGACCAATAATTTAACATGAAGAACTTTATAATAATAAGAATTCGGAATGTAAGCATGTTCAAAATATGTCACATAGGTTCTTTTATCACATTAATTTCATGTATATAATAAATTTACCATATATTTGTCATCAAAATATATAACTATATTAAAAGAAAATTCTCCTGAAAATACAGGTTTGTAATATATATTACTTGTTATAACTTATATATAAACTACAATAATATGTATGCAAGTTTAATACGGCGTAAAAACATGATTATACTTTGAAATTCATAAAACCCCACACCACAAATATAGGTACCAACTCTCCACTCTTTGGTAAGGAAGAATCTTTTACAACTGACTATGACCTACTGCCTATTTCAGATCAAAGAGGTTATCTGCAGAACCTGTCATTCACGTACACTTTTCTCTCACAGTTTAATGTCATCATAGATTATGGATGAAATAATGTTTATGAAATTCTTCCACAACCACTAGATGAAAGAATATGGCCCACTGATATATTTGGTCAATCTGCAGTTTTATATTTAATACCAAGTAACAATATTTTTTGTAAGATGAACAGTTTTTGAGAAAAGTGATAATCTTCAATTTCACGTAAGAGTGGTACTACACTCATGCTGGACTAATTCAAATCAAAATTAAATTCACATGATAAATTTCCAAATAGACAGACATAACCTCTACAGTATGTGCTTATTTTATGCACTTCATAGAGAGAACACACAATGACTGTGGACAGCCGTGGATGGTTACATTAACATTTTGTACAGCAATAGATAGATGGAGAGCTGGTAAATCATGGACAGATATTTTGTAATTTACAAACAGTTGACAAAATACAACACCTAGTGCATTAACACACGCTTATACAAGGTAGACTATATTAATTTTAAATACACCAACTCCCCCACAAATATCAGAAGATTCACAGTGTCATGCATACTGACTTTGCAGCTTTCTTACTGTAACATTTATACAACTTTGTAGCTTAAATATGTACATATTAATTTTCTCACTGAATATAACAGCTATGGATAAGTTCCAGTCAAACAGACATAGAAACTTTGCATATTACTTTCTAATATTTAGACGATGACAACAATTTCAGTTCTGATGTATACTGAATGTTGAAAACAACAATCATCACTTTGAAACAACTTGTGTATAAATAGGCCTTACCTCCACTTTCTCTAAAATCTGTTCAGTTAATTTTTTTCACATTCATACATATAGAAATCCCAAAATGGTGACAAAACAAACTAACCCACACAAATTATACGTAATAGTAACAAGAAAATTAAAATTAAAATGTAAACATTTTGTACTTTGTACTAAATAACAAGTGATGGAAATGTGAATTTAAAATCTGTTCATTAGCTTCAACATAGAAATCAAGTAGCAGAGGCATATAGCTACTGCAAGGGGCCGCACTTGTCGGACGAGCCAAAAAAGACGAAGGACCAGACAGTAAGCAACTCAGGCAAGTCTGAAGGTCTCATCACTGCATTTCTAGCATCAAAGTAGGCAGCAGATAACTGATAATCTCCCAATTTAAAAATCCTACTTACTCACAAGCCTAAAGAGACAGACAACCAGAGAGCTTTTTCAGTAAAGAGATATGTCTCCTTTTGTACACAATTTCCAATTGAACAATTCAAATTTTGTGATTTAAGTGATGATGAAAAAAGTAGAAGCATTTTCTTTTGCCTTGATGCTGAAATATGAAGTGCACAAGAAATGTAAACTCTGCTCGTAGAACACATTCTGCCAACGTTGTCCATGTTTCTGTTATTTGCTTACTCCTCTCTGTTCATCACTAAATGTCATATGTTACTCATATGTACCCATGGTAGTGAAATGGTAAAGTTTCGAAGAGACAATGTTTTAACTGACATTATTATACCAACATACAATATTGAAGCAGATATCTAGTGTTTGTGACCAGGATATTTCAGAGTTTTAATAAATATTGTTATGCTAGAAAATAAAGTATTATACCATACCCAGTATTTAACAACAGGGTACATTGCGACAAATTATTCTAAAATGTATGTATTGTGTGCCCCAGTCTTACTGTTAGGACTACAACGGCGGATGTTATTCCCTGGTGGAAGCCCCATTACAGATTAATTTCTTTAAGCATATATATAAAGCCTTGTATTACCATTTGGTCATGTTAAAATAAATGCATTAAAAAACTAAACAACAAAACATATAGTTTATAAGTAATCACGGACAGGGCCATCCCTAGGGGAATGTGGGGACTGGGTCAAATTCGTCTATACCCATTCAATTACTTTGTTGACAACAATAATATGCCTTCCTAATGGTCAATATAGCCTTTCAAAGCCTTAGGTAATTAAGTCATACTAATAATAAATAATGACATAAACAATCAGACTAATCGAGATTTCAATTTAACTTGAAATAACTAATACATAATGTTGGTAGACTGAAATCTCAGACACGACATAAGACTTTACATACTTTCGTGATTATGCGTAAGGCCTGGAAAAGTAAAGTGGCCACCCCTCACGCTACCTAGGGACAGCTCTGGTCACAGAATATGTGTTAAATTCAACAGACAATGATAATAATTATTCAACTCATATTATATAGTAAAAGTGGTAAAAGCATGTGCCACAGTAGCAGCAAGCAATGAGAAATTAGCACCATCGACATACAGTATTTCATTATTTTTCATTTTTCTTTTTCATCTTTGGTACCTTATTCTGACAACGGCATATTAGTTTTGAACCTGCCTTTACATATTTATTACTAACATACACTTACACCAACATAAGCAATAAGCAGTCAATGCTACGGAATGAAATCGTCCCTGCTGTATCACCCTACATTAAAAATTAAGCACCTGAAGTGGCACTTCTGTTGGATGGAGGTCAGTAGAGTCTCACATGAGAAACTACAAAGAAAGAGAAATTTAAGGCACATGGGTAAAATAAATGGGCAAGGGATTTATTGCATGTAATTCATCATGAGGTCCTGAGCAATGTCTGACTTTAAATTTTGTGATAAATGTACAAGTTTACTGTAAACATAATCACTGGTTCAAAAGTGTGCAGGTTTTCATATTTCAAAATTGTGTTATTTATTTCTGAGAAAATATTCAATATGCATCATATTAAACACCTGCACTGCATATAGAGTTTCATGACTTGAATATTGAAAATGGTAACGTAAACAAGTTTCATAACTGAAAAAAAAGTTCAATCACATTCAACTAAAGGCTGACGATTCCTCTGGAACAGAGATGTGTAAAATCTTTACTCTAAAGCATGATATCACATAGCACAGCAGGGCAGTTTTAACAGGTAGCACAGGCTTATAACAGGTCTAGCACCACTGAAACATAAATGTTTTTGGAAGTATATAAAATATAGAACATAGTTCTATAGCTGATCGACATTTACTGACTAAACAAATACACGTCTATGAGACAAAGAGAACAGGCCTTCCCTCAGATTATTACCAACCTACAATGACGGGCTGATACCAAAATTCTTTCGCAGCTGCTCCAGAAATACAAATGTGAGGATTGTGTGAGGTCCCAGGCGCACAAAAGCTGGGACATAACCCTGTCAAATCACAAAAATACTTGTAAAATATAAAACGATAAACTTTGTTCTTGTAGTTAACAGGTGTGATAAACAGAGACAATAACTACAAATGAGAAACTTGTTAAAAAGTATTAACATAAATCACGGTGTATTGGCACTCTCGCTTTTTATTCAGGAGGTTTTGGGTTCAAATATCAGCCCAATGACTGGATACTCTGACTGAACTATTCAGTTTTCTGTTGAAGCATATGCTAGGACAGTGCCCTAAAACAGGCCACAATGGCTTCCATCCACAACCTTTCCAATTCATCACACAATTGTTCATCCTTTTGATTCTATATGAGTACGCCCAATGTAGATGAAGAAGTTCCATTACATAAGCCAAGAATCTGCCATAACATATGGAGGGAGATATGTTCCAACACTGATAACACAAAAGGTGTTTGAAGAATCAACATTAAACGTCAAGACTGGGAAACAAAAGTAACATAGTCTTTTTAATTTGCCTTCTGCACTTTACACGCGAGTGTTTCTTATATAATTAATATACGAGGCTCGTCCACAAAGTACGTTTCCCTGGGGCCGTTTACAGAAACAAAACATAATTTCATGGAAATATTTATTGCAACAGATACAGCAAGTGTCCAGCTATTTTTCAACATATTCGCCACCGGAATTGAGACATTTGTCATACCGTGGGACCAACTTTGGAATACCTGTGTCGTAGAAGTCTGCCGCCTGGGATTGGAACCACTGTGTGACAACCATCTCCGCCTCTCTGTCATTCTCAAAACGCTGACGCTGACCGGACAGGAATTTCTTGAGGGGTAGGAAAAGATGGAAATCACTGGGAACGAGGTCCGGGCTGTAGGGTGAATGATCAAACACCTCCCAGCTGAACTCCTGCAGGAGACTTGCTGTCCGTCGAGCCGTGTGCGGCCGAGCGTTATCACTGACCGCACTTCACAGTCGGCGGGAGCTGGAATAAGAACCCCCATCTTCAACAGCTGCAACGATGCTAATGTGAGAACGCGGGAAGTGCCGTTAGTGCATGCGCCATGCTACGTCATTGCTCTATCACGTACGCACAGTCGCTTCGCGCAATATAAGGTTTGCTAGCTGTGGGACGAGTGGGAAACTTACTTTGTGGACGCGCCTCGTAGTTACTCTGAGGCTACAAATGTACTCACCACTATTTTCATTTCATTCATACATGCCATGGGGCCAAGGATATTTCTGGAACGATGCTCCCAGCTCTCTTTATGTCTTCCACATATTTTTACAGGATATTTCACAACCACCATTCTGTGTACATTTTCTGTTTTCCATATCTGAACCACGTGTGCAGGCTATAGCATCATTTTATTACCCTAATAATATTAGGTTATTTCAAATAACATATTTTGTAATAACAGCAAATAACAAATGCTGAAATCAGAACCCAGAATCTGAATGCAGTTAATCCGTGGCGTAACAGCCCTATGAGAGCCAAAGCTGGCTAGCTAGCTGCTGGCCTCACGTTCACATGCCTAAGCAGAGGTGAACGATCATCCAGCCAGATATAGGGTGATGTGTGGTCAGCACGACGAATCCCCAGCCATGATCGTATTATGCTACCCATTGTAGCTCCCCAATGTCCTCACGATGCTGGGTTGGCACCGGTCCCATACACCGGTCGAAAATCTCATGAGAAAATTTCTTTCCCTGAGCTGAATGCAGTTAACTATCATCAAAATAACTCTCGTTAAATACAAGAGTAAGAACTCTTACCTTAAAAAATCCAAGAGGTCCAAGTTTTGCTGTGTACTTGATCAAATGCCACATACTCTGCAAATAGAATTTTAAAACACACATGGCTCATACTAAACAAAATAACCAAATTCATACACATTTCTGGAAAAACACATTCTTGACAATTGACCTTGAAGTAACTGATAGAATTCAGGCAAAAAACATAAGATTTATGGGTTCTTCGGAAGCCAGCTCAGCCTGGTTCAAATAAGTACTGAGTCGACAGATCAAATTAATTTAACTTCCAAAACTGTGGTGCAATCAGTGTGTAAATATGATCTGGTCTTCAAGTTTATCTTTATTTTCAAACGTTATTAGAAATAATGGCTTATGGTATCATCTTATCAATTTGTCTGCCCGCAGGACCACAAAAATACTTCATACTTACGGCGAATTCACCGGGCTTTGCATTCATTGCCCTTGTTTTCAGCACATCAAGTGGTTGTGTTAGTGTAGTGGCTACAGCTCCCTGAAATGAAGCATTATTTTTATGTTTGCATTTATTTTAAAAAGATATGTAAATTATACATTTGTGGTATGTACTAAGTAAGAAGTTATAACCTCAAAATATATTATACAGAATTTCACTATAGAACGTGGCTTTTTGAGTATGATTGTGTAATGGCACTTTCAACTGGAGACGAGCGATCCGGTGACATTTTAATCATCACAGTTCGAGTGAATGTTACTTTTGGGTAACACTGATTTTAAACATTCACTGCAGTCCCTTGTATCATAAGGCTGCAAGTTACCCATACAGCCCTAGCAGCCTGGAAAAGGAGGGGTGCAAAAAATGAGATCACTTTATTATTCATGGCAAAAACATTTATGCTGCTTGTTATGTGGGATGATAAATTAAATAAAACATTTATTCATAACTTCATTATATATTATTACTTACAGCTGTGAGACTAGAAAGAAAATGAGTAACGAGATTATCTGAGAAGCCAGCTCTGAGTAGTAACATCTTCACTTGGTCGTAAAACGACAACTGGCCAACTGTCATAAGTACAGCTCGACCAGTGGCAGTGGATGCTCCTGAAAACAGGCGCTGGGTACCCTCTTCTCGATAAACCCGTATCAAACCATCAAATGCATGTCTGTAACTGCAACCAAATAAAAACAAGGCTGAGGCAATCCATTCTAAACAAATATATTAAGTACGATTTCAGTTTTTCACGACGGTGAGCCCAAAATTGGCTGTCTTCTAGGTTGTAGTGCCGTGTAGTCCGGTAGAAGTTTACTGGCATTTCAGAGGTCCTTGCTGCTTAAATGGTCAGAACGATGAGTGACTCATCCCAGAAAACAGAAATTTTTGCCCTCAAATAAATTAAATTACTGATAATATAAAAGGGATTATATAGAAGTGTGTTGAAACCAAATTTTCAAGAATGAAAACTGCTGAAATGTCACCTAAGAGGTCGTAAGCTGCCATGTCATTTTTTAAGATTACTATATGAAGTATGCATTACCCTTAAGTGTATAATGGTTTTAATTGAAGTTTATAGCAAGCTGGCACCTCTATAAACTTGAATTTTGAACTTTAAGATTTAGCATTTTTTCACTCAACATGAACGTAAGACCATGTACAAAGCATCATTCAGCATGTGATTGGAACACAGTACTTCCACTAAGCTATCATAAAGACAGCCTGCATAATTTTTTTGCTGACTGGTAACAAAATTTATACAGAACAGTTTCTGGTGTCACCACTGATTATAGTTACAATCCATATAATAAAATTTAACCCATAAGCTGCAAATTTTAAAATGTTAAATACCTCAAAACAGAGAAACATTAGAACGATAACCAAGAAAAATCTCATTAAAAAATTAAAATATAAATGGTACAGTGATCTGACAACTGATACTTCTTGGGCCCCATTCATAGAGTTATTTCTTTACCCTCAGTCTATTCTTGACACAAATATATCATTTACTGAGAGCTGCTGAAGATGGACTCACTTTCTTCTGGACTCAGCAGGCAGTTTGATATCATTCTGCATCCTAACATTGACCATATCAGCAGGAGTCCCCACCAAACCACCAACTGCCCCAGCAAGTGATGCCATTCCAACACGCTGATAAAATGGGATGTTTTCTCCTGACGGAGCAATAGCCTGCTTAGTAACTTCATATATACCAAATCTTGTAGTGGAATATGTTAGCTGACGTAACAATGATGCTGACAATCCATTGTAGAGCGCAACCACACCCTGTTCTTCAACAATTTTTAAAGTCAGTCTTAATATCGAGAGCTTTCCTTCTTGCTGCGTCTGAAGGTGTACCTGAAGGACATACAATGTATAAAACAACACAGTTAACATTCACACAGTTTCACATACAACACCTTTTCAGATTTGTTTAATGGTTCTACAGTTCACTTCCATGCTTTTTCAGTTTACAGTTACAAGGGGATGTTTCATTTCCACTGCTTTTTAATTTTACCACAGAATATGTCAGTAGTAATGTCCAAGAGAATCAGGAGCATCATACAATATTTCTTGTGCTACACACATCAGCCATAACAGAAGTAATTTAAGTTATATATGTATTAAGAGTATACTGTATGTGTTACAAGGCACTGTTAATTAATTAAACTTTATTACTAATAATAATATTACAAAACGTGGAAGAATCCCTGTGAACAGCGTAATGGATTAAAAGAACGTCACTAATTCTATAGAATTCTGTTTGTTATAATGAACTAATATTACTGGTAAGTATAGAAAATACGAGTGTGGTACCTTGAGCAAATCAAGAGGATGTGTGCAACATGCTGCCCCTGCTGATGCTAAACCTCCGAAGTACCATCTTGATAACCGTGTTTCACTCATGATTTCTGCACAAAATAAAATTAAAAATGACATGTAAACATATCTTATTACTTTTTCAAATTAGAAGGTCCACTACATATTTATTTACAAAAGGACAGCGACGAGATTGGTGTATATTTTCGGGTTTACTTAACATACCTGATCGCGAATTTAAGGTTATGGAAGTTTCCTTCAATAATAATAATAATAATTATGCTCCTTTTCACGATACTACTAAATGCATTAAACTGCAATGAAATGATTCAATTCTGTATCAGTACATCAATCAATAATTCCGTGAATATTAAATCAGGAACTTCTTTCCCATGCTGCTCAACTTCTGAACTTCTTTGGCTATTATTTGAAGGTTAAAACTGGAACATAGAACTTTTATCAGCTAAACCACCCACTCCCATGCCCACAGTCCATATCTTTACACCATACACATGTCATGCCACAAATTACTACATTAATGGTGTGCCCGCGGATGACTTCACCACTATGACGGTTTCGAACTCGTCACATGGATTACATCATCAGCATTACCATTGAATCAGCTGATTCATGTACATGCCTGTAAAACGTTTGTTACTGTGAAAATGTCAAAGACGAGGGTGTCTGTATGCGACTAAAAATGTTTCTGTTGTGAGACAAAGTTCCTACGAGATTAGGTTATTATTTTCGTTGAATATATTTCTTTGGTGATGACAATAATAATAAAAGTTTGTTGTACCTAACCTCAAAACTGCACATGAAACTTGTTTTACAACATCCAGTCGTAAACAGTTGACTGAAAGAGGTAAGAAGGAGGGATTTAACGGTGTGCAAATACATTATTATTATTAACAGAAGTGTATAATTCAATGGAAGAATCCACATTCAGCTGTTCTTTTTTCTTACAGTATGGCATCATCTGTATGCAGTGCTCTAGGTACAGATAAGGAAAACTTGGTTGGGAAATTGATTGCTGTTGAAGAAAACCATGGCAGCAATGGCAATTTTGTGCTAAACTGCCTTATAGCTGAACAGATTCAGAAGGGAGGTGGAGTATGTCTAGTAGCATTACATAACTCCTTTGGGCATTATCACAATATTGGTACAAAATTAGGATACAACTTACGTCAACTGCAAGAGAAAGGTCGTGTTGAAAGTATTGAAATTTTAAAGCTATTAAATGGATCTCTAAATACAGCACATGAAGATGGGTCAGAACAAAACATCTTGTTTGGCAGTGAAGAGGACACTGTGAGAAATATCTTTCATTTAATTGAAGAGAAGATAAAGAAGATACTTCAGAACATTAAACCAGTTAGCCTTGTAATTGATGATCTCAGTGATCTATTATGTTTAGGGATACCTCTGAAAGAAGTGTTATCACTTCTTCAATACTGTCGAACTTTGTTGGACTCGCAGCCCGGTCTGTCATTGGTGGTGTTGACTCATGTTGCTGAGGGTGATGAACAACAAAATTTGTTAACTGCAGGACTGTGCCATGTGGCAGATATGACGGTCAGTATTTGTGGGCTAAAAACAGGACAAAGCAGTGATGTTTCAGGTGCCATGAAAGTTATTCACAGAAGATGGGATGAATCAGCTGTAGCTCATGAATGGAACAGGCAGAATTTATATCATTTCAAATTACTTGACAGACAAGTGAAGGTTTTTGCACCTGGTACTGCATCGTCATTCACATAAAGTACAGATGGAGCTACAGCTATAAAATGTAGTTGAAATCTGTACAAAAATAAATACACACATAAATTTGTAATTAATATTGTTTTGATTTATAATTAATTCATAGTTCTGCTTAGCTCATAATATAAATGTATCTGAAGAATAGTTGCATTATAAGTTCTTAGACGTATGATCTGAACCTTTCATGGCGACAAAATAGAACGAATTCATCTTGGTCTACAACCTTAGCCCGGGAAAAATTTATTATTAAGTTCTTAGAATTTCATGTTTGCATAGTGTCGGAAGCCACAGGTGGAAGACGAGATGTTGTGATGACATTTTATGTTATGTACCAATTTTTTGTTTTTAAAAGCTAATGAACTCTCTTTTGAGCTTCGTGAAAATGTAGGGGCTATATTGAACCGAAATTAAATTTAACCAATCTTTCGGCGTTGGCCTCGGTGCCAAGCTTTGTAAGAATCTGTTTACTACTTTTGGAGATGAAATTTGCAAATGGACAGACATTCATGTAATACATTTTGTATAAAGAACAAATAAAAAAGTGACTGGTCTCATCACACAAATACACTCCTTCAACAATATTTTCTTGATTCCCAGAACGCCATAAGTGACGGGTAATTTTACATTTACGTGTAGTGTTCTGTAAGTGAAATTACAAAGTTACATAACATGTTGATGCCGAGAATAATTATTGCATCAGGTATGGTTCATGTTTGCATTGTTCAAATTGAAAACCAAACATATCTGAGTCTCCTATTTACACAGTTTAAATAACAGGCACGCCAAAGCACTGGAACTAGAGTATGCTAATGACACATTAAGCCCAAGTGGCAAACTCAAGTTTATAAATTCTACTGCAAGTTCTGGAAGCTCATCTCGGAGCTTCCCACGGAGTGAACATCCCTTTTATGATAACATCTTGTTTACATCACATCGCCATGAAAATTATCTGCGTGCATTCAGTAAATCTCGACTACAGACGACTTTGAACTTTGAAAAGTCATCTCGACTACAGACGACTTTGAACTCTGAAAAGTCAAAAATTTGTATATGCAAGGCCGCAGTGTTAGGTTAGGTTAGGTTAGCAGAAGCTTTGGACAAAGACTTGTGGAGGTTTTGTTCTACAAAGTGTCTTGTCATTTTCCTTTTATCCTTGTGTAGTGACTAAGGAAGAACGACAAGGCTGAGCCTTGGTATGAAGTACAGTCACATATCATGCCGTATCAAATAGCAGTCAAAACACTTTCAGTCAACATAAAATATGCAACACTTATCCATTGTAACAATTTCAATGCTGGTACACAGAGAATTATTCGGATCACCGAACCACTGACATTCTAGCGACTTCGGTATGCAATGGGATAGGAGGATGGGTGGGCCCAGAGCCAGTCTAGCCCCTGTGGCGAGGCGGGAATCGAATCCCGGAAGCCCATCTCAAGCCATTCACTTTACTGACTGAGCATTCTGGACACATCTTCAGAAGAAGGAAACAAATCACTATTTGTTAAAGGTGCAGAATCTACCATTATACCTGAAATTCGAGATTTCGAGGTCCTCGTGTTGGTATTATTGAAAGTAAAAAAAAATGGCCTCTAAGACCATAATGTAGAAACCAAGTTTCGTGATAATCCGGCAGCAGGTTAAAAATTTAGTTAGTGGGGACATACACAAGGCATAACACTAACGTATCTTTCAATACAAAATAAAAATTATAAGTAAAAACATATAAGGTTATGTATGCACCGTTACGTGTATGTGTCTGCTAGTAATTTCGGAACCTTTCAGATCGATTTTCATTAAACTCTATATGAACGTCATGCCATCAGAGGTCAGCATACATTCTGAGCTCCTGTTTGTACAATTTCTGAGAAGGGAACACGTCAGAGAAACTCAATGCAGAGTTATTATTGATGTTCAAAAGGAGTTATAGCATTAATTAAAAGCAGTTATTGGGAAAATCATGTCGTAAAATAAAATGGCGACGGCGATAAAACCAAATTGGTTTTTGCACACTCCAAGGTTTTCAATGAAGTCGACAGGCCAGTTTTATGGAATATTTTAGTAATACAAAGCCTGTCGGCTTATCCTTGGAACGCTCTACACCTAGTAAAATTATTAACTGTAGATTCGCCTTCTGAAGCTGGTTTTTGCAAAGATATTCAAGAAATTCTTCACTTTTTATGGAACCCGAAAGTCCATTACCGTAATTACCAGATCCAAAACTGGACTCTATGGTGAGCTACATAAATCCAGTCCACATATTTATGACTCATTTCTCCACGACCCATCTACGCCTTTGTCTCTCAAGTGATCTCGTCCCTTCGGAGTCTGGCGACTGTGTATGCATACCCTGTCCCTCCTTACGTGCTACATGTCCCGCCCATCTCATATTCCTTCAGTTGATCACCCAACCAAACTTTGGGGAAGAGTACACATTCTTTTTCAAGCCTTGTGTCAGTTTCTTTGCCCTGTGTTCAGAACCCCGTTCTCAAACAGGTTCTGGTTGGAATTTACCGACGTTTTATAGACATCACCAGGTTTATGGAGGCAGTTAGCACCTCTGAAACGTCGGCAAATATCTGTCAATATCCCAGAAGACAGCTAAATTCACCCTAAATCTAGGTTCTTCAGTCGAGGCAAGAAATATACTTTTGAATATATAATTTATTTCCGTTTAGACTTCCCAATTTTATAAAACGTGTATTCGTTAGAAATAAATTTCCGTGCGCAAAATTCTGTGTGCAAGGCGGCAGGCGCACACACATCGATCAATGGCCAGAGGTGTCGACCGTTCTGTTACACTAACGTGTCAGAAACCATCCAGTCGAGGTTGGTGATGGATTCCGAGTGTCGTGGCATTTGCGTAATGAAGAACACGTTTCAATTACGTCATCATCTTCAAATTTCCAAATCACTGTGATCCATAACGTAAAACAATTAGACAATATTAAGGATGTGTACATAAATATTCCTGTTATCGAAGTCAGACTTATCACTATGCAGTTGTTGATAGTGACATTAATCACGACTTCGCTTATGTTTCGAGTGCCAGAAGTTGGATTAAGATAATAATCTAGTGCTGAACACGATAAATACTTATCATAGTATTAACTAATAAAAATCACTTCAGTTAGTAATTATCAATGACAATTTAAAGATTAATTAAATACTTTTGATGTGATGGCAATTACGCATTCATTCCAAAGCCGTTGCATTAGTAATATGTAAAATGTGACTAGAATAATCCTCATGTAATATAACAAAACGTTCTAAGACACATTATCCAACATTTTAGCCGAGTTTGTTTAAAATCTATTAGTCGTCATGACGCACTCGTCAAGTTCGAGCAATGCCAGCACACCGTCACAATCGGTCAAATCTTCAGAACACAGGCTGAAGGTATGTACATTAAGGATATTAATACTTTTTATTCGTACTCCATCCTGCCACTAGCAAGTAATTTGATAGGATTTTTAAACAGTTCTAATGGTAGATGTTTTCATATGCGAATCACGCACGTAAACATGTTATTTTTGGCCCAAACACGTTGAATTAACAAAGGCACCCTAATTAATCGGTGATGAACCTTTGTGTTCGGTAAGCCATCTAGTTAGTTAGTTAGTGTCCTGAGAGCAGACTGAGGTCCTACCTCACAGAAAACACAACGTCTAGATGACAAAAATAAGTTGGTTAATGCCATTTAAAGAAATAACACCTGCGTTTTCATAAAATCACGTGAAAGTCATTAATACAATGTCGGCCAAAAAATTCAGGATTAGTGAATGGTACACATGGTACATATAGGTACCATTCAACTTTAAATTGTTAAAACACGAAGCAATTTACACTAATTTGTTGTTCTTGTGTTATAGGTTGCTGTCAGAATTCGACCTCTAAGACTGAATGAAAATCAACGTGTGCTGCACGCCCTTGATAATAAGGTAAAACTTAGCTCAGCAGAAGACTCTAAACGTGCAGGAATATACCATTCTTCGTCACATTAATTCATTTTCATTAACCCCACGGAACACAGCCCTCCTTGAAAAGCTGATAACATTATGCCATTATCTCCCTGATAATGGAGGCAGCAAGGACTGTTTGCCCCCTAATCTCGTCTTAACTTCTGACGACAGATTCGGGAACAAATGTTTGGTAGAAGTTTACCAACGTTTCGGAGGTCCTTGCTGCCTCCATCATCAGGGCGATGATCTTATCCGACCGGTTCCCATATCTCAAACGAATTCGCGGGCGGTTTACTCATCGCCCTGTGGCAGCAAGCACCTCTGAAACGTCAGTGAACTCCTGTCAGACTACAAGATGAAACATCCCATTAGAGAGTCCATCTTCATGCTCGACCCCGTGATAATCCGGAAGCTAAAAAGTTTCACTCTAATTCTTACAGTCTGAAGGAGGGTATCGTGGCCGATTTGAAGGCGATATCCAGGCAAATTTAATGTAGACTGAATCAATACGAGTGGAAATTATGCAAAGATGTAAATAGTCACATTTTGTGACTATTAATTTATATTTAAAATTTACAAATAAGATAATTAAAATATCATTTTATGTTCCACATCGAATAATCGATTTACATTTGGAACATTTTTACAACATGTTTCGGTTTCATCGAACCATCTTCAGGTGTAAAATTATATCAAAGCATTCACTTCAAAACAATACATTCGCTCCAATATGTGAAAATAATCTGGATATGAACATCTCCAAAAAGCTACACAACAGAAATTGTAATTGAGTTTTAAGTTTGTTGATATAATTTTACACCTGAAGATGGTTCGATGAAACCGAAACATGTTTTAAAAATGTTCCAAATGTAAATAGATTATTCGATGTGGAACATAAATTGATATTTTAATTATCTTATTTGTAAAATTTTAAATATAATTGTGATTAGACGGACAAAACCGAATAATTAATTTAATATTTGATTCACAATATGACGCAATTAATTATTAATTTATAGTTCGCTTCGCCATATTGATTGGGAGGAGGGGTCCGAAGTTCCTCTCAGAATCCTTGGTTTCTGCAACAACCCTGAAGGAAATGGGAACGTACGATGTACCTGAATTTATAGGAAATACCCAAAATTAAAGAATTTTTTTAAAAAAAACACATATGCCGGTTTTAGGCTTATAGGGTCTGGTATCATGAACAGGAAACGAGGCAAAAACTTAATCACCATCCAGGTTAAAGGTCACAAAGGTCGCTGCTTTTTTTATTCTTTCTCAAGACCGTGAAAATACGTCATAGCGTGCATGAGAGACTTTTCAGATTTGTGGGGGGGGGGGCTGCAACATTGGCGCCTGACCTTCGCACACCAGATGAAGCAGACTCAAAACGTAACTCTAGCACGAAAAGGTCACTGGAGAGTGGGATAAACAATGGTCACCCTGCACGCGAATACTGCACTAGTGCATCGATCCACTAATAATTAGGCTCAAATGAGGAAAAGTAGTGATTTAGTTTAATTACACGCGAGGGGAAAGTTTCCGGGGTCCGGACGGGGCGAATCGAGAAACGTGCACTGCGCTATACGCCCCAAACCCCCACATCTTCCAAATATGATAATCTGAGGGCAGATCGTGTCTGTCTGCGTGTTCCCATGTTCACTCTCTCATGTGACTTACAACATTCCCAATAACATCTAATATTAGAGCCTCCTGTCACTTCATCTCTCTTAGATCACGAATATTCTCCCCAGCATCCTGCTCTAGAACACCCTAAGTCAATGTTTTCCCCTTAATATGGGTTTTATAATATTGAATGGGTAAGCTGTATTTGATGCTCCGCGTATAACCCGGCAGTCGACAATATAATACCCCTGGGGGTACGCGAAGACATCTTAGGGGGTACGTGAAATTTAAAAAAATACATTATTTTATGATAAACACTGAATAATCAGTAATGTAATTTATTTAATTTACTTTAGATGTAGATTATATACTATGTATAACTTGAATTATACACCAATAACTTTGGGGGTACAAAGTTGAAGAGAAATTATATCTGGGGGTACGCGAACAAAAAAGGTTGAATACCACTGCACTAAACCAACTAGCAAAGGAAGTCGATTAAACCCACGCCGACAACTCGGGGTACACAAAACACTTTCAGCATGGGGGAAGGCGAGGAAACTCTGGCACAAAACATTGTGTTCCTTTCAAGTGAGCAGAACTTTATCTATTCTGTGCTAACAACTCTACTGTGGCCATCCACGTCCCATCAACCTAAGTACAAAACCTCTTGAAGTCATTCGATGGTGAAATGTAAAGAAGAAATTCTAAAGTCAAAACAATTTTTTTACGATACGTAAATCAAGGTTGATTCTGCGCATAAGCATCACACAAGAAAGTCGTGTGTGGGCGTCGGGATTAACTATTAAAATAGTTTCAAACTACTGTACTGCCTCACATAAACATCACACGTCGACAAATCCTAAAATATTATTTTACTTTTAAATCATAAGACTGCTGCCGGTCTCACCCGCATATCTCCTCATCTACATAACCAACACGCAAAGAAGATTTACAGCAGAACGGCATTTCATGTTTAACGCCCGTCTCATTAGCATTTTTAAGGGCATAAGACACGAGAACGTTTCAAAATTGCATAAGTTCCAGGCGTTTAAGAAATCCTGACGTCACAACATAAATTACACGCAGCAAAACAAGTGAATGCAGACACGCAACACGTCCGCTTTCTCTCTCTCTCTGTTTCTCTAATTAATTTCTTTTATAACCTACAGATAATTATACGCAGGAAGATTCCCACATCCGTAGAGTGGGTGTGATCTCTGCATAAATGTCTTCACAATGTTTTTTTAACCATACTGTACCTTGCATTTGAATTTTGATATTTGATGACCAATTATTTATTTCAGGAACACTGATTCTTTTGTTACATTTCCTCTGTTTTCAATGATAGTCAGTCTTCGGGCAGAGATCTGAACTCGAGACCTTCCTAATACGTATCAGGTCTGGTACGTTATGCTGTCTGTAATAAATTTACAATTCGAAATGCAAGTAAACTGGGGGTTATTACATACTCTGCCGATACTGACTATAGATTAAATTAACCCGCCAACTTTCACATTTAATGTGACACAGCTTCACGTAACATCCCTATTGTGCGTCCATTTAAGTACTCCCGCGAGTAAAATACAAACAAGTGCTTTGTAACATTCCGATGGAATTACTGATATTGAGTGGAATCTTGTGCCGTCATTAATAATACAAGCATCACACTGTGTGGTTGTCATAGCAACGTGTGTCAACATTAACACTACACACGTCTCTCCGGAACCTGCAGGTTGCCAGCATTGCGTGACAGCAAAGCACCGCCTTGTTTGTCGAGTGTCATGAATTTGGACAAGCGAACCACAACAGACATTACATTTACCCCGTTCCCCGAGTTTATTAAGTTTAAAAGGCGTCCCATCTATTTCCAGGTCTTCCAATCTCTCGTCTTCTTCCAAAAACAAATTTATTGTACGCTCAACTCATGCATTTGTCTACATGTGAACACTTCCACTGTTTTATCGTCAGCTACGTCTGTAGTTTGCAGCCGTGGAGCAGTGTCCTTATTGAGAATCTGACAGTCGCTCAGCCGGTCCTGATACTCCACCCATTGGGCCCACATGTTCACATTGGACTCTGTCTTCAACCATGTGAATCAAGTCTACTTCCTCACATCCCGTGGACCTTGGGGCCTTCAACCGTGAAGATGTAGGCAGCATGTTCCTCCACCGAAACGTTGGTATACAACAACCCAGAAGAAAAATTAAAGACGACACCAAACAGAGATGCAAAATCACAATAAACACAGTTAGAAAGAATGTGTACTCGAGCTGGAGTACACTTTTCCAATCTTCTTTCGTACCTCGATAATTCCGTTCTTGTCTAAATTGGTTTTCACGACTTGATAATGTGAAGTCGAGAGTAGGTTCTCTGCTCAGACAATATTAATGTTATCAGAGTCGTATTCACAAATAATGCCATCCACCGGAAATTGAAACATCCATCATAAATGAGGCTTCAGATTCGATCAGGCCCTTGGTCTGTCCTTTATGTTGCAGATGGTTGTACTGGAAGACGAGGGCGACAAAAACGACGTCCTGCGTCAAAAGAGGGGCGGAGAGAGACAGTACGTCTACGATGCTGTCCTCGGCGAAGACTCCACACAGGTGAGAAAAGGAGGTCGTTGGCTCTCACTGCGCGGTGAGGCCGAAGATGGCCGCCTTCTGGGTTGCAGCGCCGTGCCGACGTTTCAGAGGTCCTTGCTGCCTCCATCATCAGGGCGATGAGTGTTGTTAAACTTCCACTACAACCCAGACGACAGCCATCTTCGGACTCGCCGTGATTATGAAGAAGGCGACAAATATTACTTTAGACAAAGACCAAAATCATTAATACGAGGCGCGTCCTCAAAGTAAGTTTCCCTGGGGCCGTTTACAGAAACAAAACACAATTTCATGGAAATATTTATTGCAACAGATACAGCAAGTGTCCAGCTATTTTTCAACATATTCGCCACCGGAATTGAGACATTGGTCATACCGTGGGACCAACTTTTGAATACCTGTGTCGTAGAAGTCGCCCGCCTGGGATTGGAACCACTGTGTGACAACCATCTCCGCCTCTCTGTCATTCTCAAAACGCTGACGCTGACCGGACAGGAATTTCTTGAGGTGTAGGAAAAGATGGAAATCACTGGGAACGAGGTCCGGGCTGTAGGGTGAATGATCAAACACCTCCCAGCTGAACTCCTGCAGGAGACTTGCTGTCCGTCGAACCGTGTGCGGCCTAGCGTTATCACTGACCGCACTTCACAGTCGGCGGGAGCTGGAATAAGAACCTCCATCTTCAACAGCTGCAACGATGCTACTGTGAGAACGCGGGAAGTACCGTTAGTGCATGCGCCATGCTACGTCATTGCTCTATCACGTACGCACAGCCGCTTCGCGCAATATAAGGTTTGCTAGCTGTGAGACGAGTGGGAAACTTATTTTGTGGACGCGCCTCGTATTCCACAAGACCTTTAAGTTCTCGTATATTGAAGTCTACATTCACATGTATTTATACTTATTTAACG